TCAGTTGTTCACACTACACACAGATTACCCTCCCTCATCACCCTCCCTCATACACACACACACACACACACACACACACACACACACACAAGACTGATACAACAATGAGCTCTGGGTGACAGCGGGCTCCAAAGATCCTTCGGGCTCTTACCAAACCCATCGTTGGGACACTGCTCACTAGGAGAAAAGCCCTCAGCGGGACTGGGCTTGGCCAAGGACACTGCCAGACCAGCAATTCGACTGGTGCTCCCCTTCAGCTTCTCCATCACCTTCCTAGAACAGGAGGGAATGACATGAGGGAAGACAGGAAGCTCATCAGGCAGCCTAATGTCCTGAAACAAATGGGAATGAGGGGAATCAAACTGGTGACTCACTTCTTGTCTTTTCAGCCACTAACGTCTGAGAGAACCAAGACCCAATCTGAGCTGAGGGCTTATCTCATCTACCCTGTGTTTGTGTGACCCTGAGCACCCCTCCTGCCTCCCTGGGGTCCTTACTCACTAGAGTTCTACTTACAAGGTCACCGAGATAATTCCTGTTGACTGTGACCGTTCCTGGTGAGGGCACCCCACCCCTGTGCTGCTCAGACGGGGGAAGCCGAGGAAGCTGTCATTCACAGTGTGAGCACTGTCCCTGAACCTCCCCGCTCTGCACACAGTCTAAAGCAGACAGGGGCAGTTGTTACCTGGTAAAGAGCGTGCCCTCCAGCAGAACCATGTAAGGGGGGTTGGGGCCATCCGTCAGCACCCACTGCAGGTCTTCTTCTTTCTCCACCACATGGATGACCCCTGTGTCCCCGCTAATGGAAGCTGCCAGGACAGAAAGGCTCAAATGAAAGCTCCCACAGTTGACGATTCTGACTTTGCTCACTGACTCTGCAGATCATCTATCCCCAAACATGTTACAGGACATTTGGGTTAATACAACCACGTCTAGACTTGAACTTGAAAGGTCCCTGTCCCACCTGAGGACTATCAGGAGGGAATGGAGAACAAAAGAGCCCAAACAGTCTACTCGGGAGACCTTGTTCATTAATATTCATTTTCTTGCTTTCTTCCCTCAAGCGCATTTAGCCAAATATACAAGATTCTAGGACAGCAGACATAAAGCCTGCAATTCCTCCAGAAAATGGTAGGCTCTAAATCTCTAGCTCAGCCGAAACCGGTTTGGCTCAGTGGATAAAGAGTTGGTCTGAGGACTGAAAGGTCCCAGGTTCGATTCCGGTCAAGGGCATGTACCTTGGTTGCGGGCACATCCCCAGTGGGGGGGTGTGCGGGAGGCAGCTGGTCCATGTTTCTCTCTCATTGATGTTTCTAGCTCTCTATCCCTCTCCCTTGCTCTCTGTAAAAAAAATCAATAAAATATATATTTAAAAATAAATAAATAAATAAATAAATCTCTAGCTCATTGTTCTGCCACTGTAGCTTCCTTTGTGAAAACATGTGTAGACTCCATTGGCCTCAGTAGCTTCCCTAGACCTTCATTCCTTTGCCCTATTTGAGAGTAGCTTTACTTGCTTTTGGCCAGTTTTAGGTCAAGTTCACCAAGAACTCTGAGGTCTCCAGAACAGTCTCCTCACTGCTGGGCCTTAAGTGAATTGGAGATGTGCTGGTATGGATTCCCCTCATTTCTGGGGATCTAGGGTTTCCAAAGGCCCTCGGCTGGTCACCCTCGGCCAGGAGCAGACTGACCCAGGACAGGAAGAAGATAAGCTGTGACACTGTACTTCAAACACCTGGACTCTAACCTGGGTTCCAATGAGTGACTGCGTAGTCTTAAGTAACTTGCTTATTTTCTCTGGGCCTTCAGTGAGAAGTTTTCCACTCCTATTTACCTCATACTGTGGGGACACATGAAAAAAGGAAAGAAAAGAAGGAACTAAAAAAAAAAAAATCCTACATAAGCCCTTTGAGCACTTTCAAATGGTCCAACAGAAACAGAGCATTATAATCAGAAATCAAATCTGGGTCTATTTCTCCTTAATTTCACCATGCTAGCAATCCTAATCGAAGATATACAGATACAATGATGGCAGGCTTATAAAGGAGTAGGCTGAAAAGGAAACAAGATCTTAACGAGGAAGTGGCCAGAGTCCAGCTCCTCCCGCTGGTTTCTCTGCACTGGCTCTTGGCCCCGAGGCTCTGCCTCCCACAGGGCTGCTCTAAGAACCTGCAGCAGAGTGACTCATTCCCAAAGGGGGAACTTGGAAGCCAGCTCCAGGGTAGTCTGAGCTCAGCCCACAATGGAGCTGGCTGTCTTCTACCCACAGACCCAGTTTAAGAACTAAATCCAACAACAACTTTATTTGGAACTGTTTGGAACCGGTTAACCTACTCCCAGCACCTTCTGCGGCCGAGACATGGGACAGTGAACATGGAGTCTAGCTCAGGGAAGGATGGGTAGAAAAGCAGTAATTGCCGCCTTGAGCAAGTGTTCCACTTTTCTCCTACCAACCTGAGAGGTTTCAGGAAACCACAGAGCTGCTGAGAGCACACTACTTACTCAGCATCATCAATAAACATTTATTAGTTCAGGAATAACTAATAAATGAGCAGGAATATGCTAACTGTTTTTATGGACGTAAAGTGAAATTCAGAGGTGACCCATTGGATAATGAAGGAGCCAAGATCTGATTCTGTTTCCTGCTTACCAGAAAAACAACCTGACAGAGCTACCTACACTCCCAGAACAAAATCTGGAGATAGCAGGGTAAGCAGAAGGGGAACTGGGATTCAACCTTTAGATCACAATTTCCCCCCCCCACCTTTCATAGTTTTATAACCATGCTGTCACAGTACCCTGTTTTGGAACACATTTACAAAGCATGAAGACAAATTCAAATGCTTTACTAATTCGTCTTGCAATTATATGGCTTTCTCAATGCCTTCTCTTCAAATAGTTTATTGCCTGTAAAAGGCCATTTTGGTTCCAAAAAGATCAGAGGGCATATTCTGGGCTCCACAGAATATGGAATGTCTTTCTCCTTAGAAACAGCATAGTTGTCTACTCAACCTACTGGGTGGTTAAGAGTCCTGGCTTAGCCGAAACCGGTTTGGCTCAATGGATAGAGAGTCGGCTTGGGGACTGAAGGGTCCTGGGTTCGATTCCGGTCAGGGGCATGTACCTTGGTTGCGGGCATATCCCCAGTAGGGGGTGTGCAAGAGGCAGCTGATCGATGATTCTCTCCCATCGATGTTTCTAACTCTCTCTCTCTCTCCCTTTCTCTCTGTACAAAATCAATAAAATATATTTCAAAAAAAAAGAATTAAAAAAAAAAAAGCGTCCTGGCTTAGAACTTGGACCACCAGGACTCAAATCCTGGCTTCATCACTTAATAAGAGCAGGATAACCTTGGAAAAGTTATTCAACTTCTTTAAGTCTCAGTTTCATCACTTGTAATATGAGATAATAATAGTAGCTACGTCATGAAAATTAAATGAGATGCATGTTTAAGAAGTTTAGTAACACTTACTAAATGTTAGCTCTTCCTAATTATCTTGCCTGGTTTGCCTAACTATCTACCACCTCCCACCCACATAGCATAATTTGTATGCTGAGACTTCTAAGCAGGACTTAGATCTTTATATCTAGGCCACAAATGGAAATATCAACAGCCACAAACACAAACCCCAACCTCAACTCACAGTGGCAGCCAATCTGATGAGTGGCATTGAGCAGACGGACGCAGGGAGCTGTTTTATTTAAAGAGATGTAGATCTTCCTCTCCACGGAGTTTCCCCCACACAAACCTGATCAGAAGATAAAAAGTGTTGGGAAAAAGTTGAGAGATGATAGCACCAGCCTCCATCTTGTCATTAGCTCACTGTACGGCTTGGCTATATCATACTTTCCGCAGCAGGACTAATGTCTAGTCTTCTCACTTCTTGGGCACATCATCGGGACAGCCAGCTATGTGCTTATTACAGAGAGCAACTGACAGTGAAGCTAAAAGACAGAAAACTTCATTTGTCAAAGGAAAGGCATTTAAGCTCAGATGTACCAGCTTCTGGTTGCATGGGTCACCTCACTTTTACTTATCACTTCTACTTTTCTGCTCATCTCCAGAGAAGCTACCTCCTTGGATACAGATATGAAGAACAGACAGACATTGACACTCAATCCCCCAGGACACTCCCTACAACACGGTCATCAAAAAGGCCACAAATTACCGGGCCTTGGGAGCTGAGCAGTCCCAGTTGAGGAGAGAGAGGGGAAGGGAAAGAACAGGGAACTGGCACCTGTCAGTTAACCTAGCACCAGTAGCTGATCTATGTGTGGGGCGGCTATAGTTTCTCCGTTGGGAAATCTTTGAAGAAACCAATATGGATTTGGTGGAAAGTGTGGTCATGGTTAGACACAGACACGTTTGCATTTCTAAGACTTGACAGACTAGAAAGCCATCTACCATTATAAATGCCTCATGTTCCTTGAATCATTATTCCACAGTCTACAGTGAAGAGTACCCATATCTTACTTTTATCTCACTTTACTTTTGAGACAAACTGAGGCAAAGCACAGGGACGCGGGTTTACGGTGGCATCAACACAGAAACAAACGAGGAATCTACTATCCTCCTAGAGCTGCCCTATCCCCACAAAACTCGGCTGCTTTCGCTTAGGGAGGAAGCTAAAGTGACACCTGTCCTTCTTGATTGTGGGCGGGGTGGCCCGGGACCTGGGGGAAAGGAGGCATCCGGAGAAAGTGAGAGTCTAGGCGGGTGGCCTGCAGGAGGAGGTAATGAATGGAGCGACCCGACGAGGCACGGGGGAGACGAGACCTTCAGGTCTCCGGAAGGGGGAACTTCTGTGATGGGAACGAAAGAGAAAGGGGATTTACAGGGCGGGAGGACGGGAACCAGGAGACAGACGGCTGGGCGGACCGGAGGGTTCTCCTCGCAGAGTGGAGCTCACGGTCGGGGAGGCCTCACCTGCCAGGAGGACGCAGAGACACAGCAGGCGAAGAAGACCCCGACTTCCCAGGTCAGCCGCGGAGCCGCCCCCGGCCGTGGCCATCTTGCGCCTCGGCGGAGCGGAAGCCTCGGCTCTTTTCCGGCCGGAAGTGGCCTCTCTAGGATAGCCGGGCGCCGTCTCGGTGGTCAGGAGCTGCAGGGACCGGAAGTCCGTGTCCGCGGGAGCTTCCGGGAGCCGCGGCTGCGGGCGGCTGACGTGGAGGCTTGCAGCGGGGCGGCGGGGAGCGGCGGGGCGCGGGGAGGACCTGGGAGCCGCGGGCCTGAAGGATGCTCACCAAATTCGAGACCAAGAGCGCGCGGGTCAAAGGTAGCGGAGCCCGGGGGGCTGGGTGTCGGGGGCGGCGCTGTCACGGGGGTGGGGGTGGGGGTAAGTGGGCCGATGTGTGGGCCGAACTGGCCCCGGTGCGGACCCAGAGGAAGGGAGGCGGGAGGGCGGTTGGACCGGCGGGCAGCCCTCCGGCCTGTTCTTCTTGTGCGTTGTCCTTGCGGTTTGATCACCAGTAGTGGGTTCCACATCTTGAGGCCCTCCTCCCTGTTCTTTCCCTTCCCCTCCTCACCCCGGGCTGTGTCCAGCCAGCTCCCAAGGCCCAGGAACCCGTGGGCTTTTTGAGGACCGTGTTGTAGGGAGTGTCCCGGGCGATCGAGGCTCGACCTCTGCTCTTCGTATCCACGGCTGTTCGTATCCGAGTCCGCGGCCTCCCCGGAGATGAGCGGTGGCTGCCTCGCTGAAGGAGGCCTTGGCCGCACCAGCTCAACACCGAGTGCCTCCATGGACTTTCCTTTCTTACCTGGACACAGGACACGCTAGGATAGGCCTGTAACCCCTGCAGGGTGTGAGCTTGCTGAGGTTGCCAGGTGAACAGTGAATACGTTTTTGGTATTGTTCGTGGTTTATCTGAAATGCAAATTTAACATATTTCCTAAATATGGCAAACCTAGAGTTTAGGGATCCGTGGATGGGGTGGAGGGCAGATGGCTGAAACTGCAGCAGTGGTCTCAGGATGTTAGGATGGGAAAGGCAGAGAACTAAGGTCTTCTGAAATTTGGAAGAAATAGGTATCTTGACTATTTAGTAAGATGCAGGATGGCAAGGTGGTTAGGAACTTAGCCTTTGGAGTCAGAAGGGCTTGCTTTGGGCCGAAACCGGTTTGACTCAGTGGATAGAGTGTCGGCTTGGGGACTGAAGGGTCCCGGATTCGATTCCAGTCAGGGGCATGTACCTTGGTTGCGGGCATATCCGCAGTGGGGTGTGTGCAAGAGGCAGCTGGTCGATGACTCTCCCTCATCAATGTTTCTAACTCTCTATCTCTCTCCCTTCCTCTCTGTACAAAATTAATAAAATATATTAAAAAAAAAAAAAAAGAAGAAAAAAAAAAAAAGAAGGGCTTGCTTTGGAATGCCGAATGATAGGGGCTGGGGTGTGTGTGGAGGTGGGGCGCCTTATTTAACATTATAAATCTCTCTTTCCTCATCTGTAAAGTGTGAATAATTTAGGGTGCACTTTTGATGTGAGAATGGACACTGAGCAGTTCTAAGTCTTGTGAGATTGTGATCATGATGAGTACCATGAAAAATTCCTGGGTGGTTGAAATGGGTCTTTATAATCATTGTATTTTCTGTTCTGCTCCTAATTTTTTATTGGGCAGTAGAGAAGGAAAGTGGGGGAAGAAGGAAGTTGTCAGAATATTTGAGAGTTATATCCATTAATGAGTGTTCCTATGGAACACTTCCATACAGGAAAAAAGTGACCAAAAAGTCAATTTAGAGAAGAAATGTTCAATAAATAAATGAAAATATACACCTCACTATACATCTAAAAGTAATACAAAGCAGTATTGAATGTAAACTAATTTTAAACAGAGAAATTAAATTTTGATAGAAATTTTTAAAATAAAACAAAAATATTATAACCTCACTAGTAATGATCTATGTTTCTCTCTCATCGATGTTTCTAACTGTTTATCTCTCTCCCTTCCTCTCTGTAAAACTCGATAAAATATATATATATTTTTTGAAAGAAGTTTGCAGGGAAACTTTGTTACTTTCATTTCCATAAAGTGATATGGTCTGCATTAAAAATTGGAAAGGATACACTCTAAACTGTTAGCAATTGTTACTTCCTTAATCTTCCATTTCCAGTCATGATGGAGGAATAGGGACCAGGTTTAGCTTCCCACCTTAAATAACCGCACAACTGAACAAAATGTATAAAACAAAGGATTTCAGACATTGCATGACAGCCACTGCAGGAAAGTGATTCTTGATAGAAGGGAAATAAACAGATGAGTCCTATGGTTGTTTTTAGCTTACTTCCCGGAGAGAGTTTCCAGGCTGCAGTGGAGGGAGGGGAAAGAGCCTTGTGATCTCACTGAGGAGGACAGAGTTTAGAGTTCAGGGGAGTCAAGACAGCTAGAATGTGCCGGGAGAATACCAGAAAAGGGAGGTGCTCAGAGAACACCTGAGTTCTGCAGGGCATCCCGGTAGGCCTGTGAGTACTAATGAGGAAAGACCCAAGGCATGGACAGAACCACTGGGGAAAAGAAGGCAGAACTCCCTGGAGCTCACATCGGGCCGGGAATAGTTTGTGTTCCTACTAGCCAACATGGAAAGACCTCCTAATACTACAAGGCATCCACAAAGACCTCAGAGGGCATTGCCGTAATAGTAGCGTCAAGTTAGACCTACACTAAAGGCTACTATGGACCCATGCTAGTAAAACTTAGCCTGGTCGGTGTGGCTCAGTGGTTGAGTATCAACCTATGAACCAGGAGGTCACGGTTCAATTCTTGGTCAGGGTACATGCCCAGGTTGTGGATTCGATTCCCAGTGTGGGGTGTGCAGAGGCAGCGATTCACTCTCTCATTGATGTTTCTATCTTCCCCTCTCCCTTTCTCTCTGAAATCAATTTTAAAAATTATTTTTTAAAAATTTCTTTATTGATTAAGGTATCACATATTTGTCCTCAACCCCCCATTCCAATCCCCCACCCCTCCCCACTCATGCCCCCACCCCCCTATTGTCCTTGACCACTGGTTAGGCTCATATGTATGCACACAAGTTCTTCGGTTGATCTCTCCCTTTTATCCCCACCCTCCCTTTGAGATCCAACAGTCTGACCCATGGCTCCTTATCTCTGGGTCTGTTCTTGTTCATCAATCTACGTTGTTCACTATTTCCCCTAGATGATTGAGATCATGTCTTATGTGTACATGTCACAATGATATTTCAGTCCTGGGTGGTGGACAAATGGTGGTAATGCAGGTCTGACCCTCTCTGGTTTGGTCCTGGGCAACCTGCAGTGACACACAGTGCTGATCGCTATTATGGCAAGGCATCGTTAGCATCTTCCATCTCTGGATTCTTCTCTTCTGTCTTCATGGCTGGAGCATTCCTGTCAATCCCTCTCTGTTGCCAGAATCCACATGGTCTCGGAGTTGTTTTCTGAAAATATACAAACATATTCTCAACCAAAAGTTAATAAAGGATAAACTTTTTTATAAAACTTAAAAGCAAACCTCAAAAGGGTTAACTGATTCCAAGTAACTTAACTGCATCATAAAACAAAGCCCAACAATATTTAATGGAATGTACCAAAAACCCAGGACCTTATAGCATAAATTCATAATGTCTAGCAGTGAATGAATAAGTGAGCCTAGAATTAACCTAAGCTGTCCCTTTTCTATCAGAATTGACAGGAAGTGACATTGGGGCTTAGCTCATTGGACCGTTCTCTTTTTCCCCCCCAGGACTCAGTTTTCACCCCAAAAGACCCTGGATCCTGACCAGTTTGCACAATGGGGTCATCCAGTTATGGGACTATCGGATGTGCACCCTCATTGACAAGTTTGACGAACATGATGGTAAGATAATGGTTTTTAGGAGGAAGTTAAAGATAGAAGTATTTATTGTCTTCGGGAGTAGTTTAAGCCTCGTTTGACATTAATTCCTAAGGATTAAATAATGTGGAGGGAATAGAACTGGAAAAGCCTGAATAAGAACCGCCTTGGAGATTAGGAAGCATGTCTCTCTTTAACATATATTGCCTGCCTTCTTCTCCAGGCCCAGTCCGAGGAATCGACTTCCATAAGCAGCAGCCACTGTTTGTCTCTGGAGGAGATGACTATAAAATTAAGGTAAAGAGGCTCTGTCATTGCTGGAGAAAAGGACAGAGGACGTGAGGTTTGGGAATTGTGGAAGGGACTAAAAAGCAGTAGTACATCTTACTCAGAGAGAGCTCATGATTTTTACTTTATTCAGCAACATTTATGAGCGCTTACTGTGTACCAGGCACTTATTTTGGGGGAATTCACAAATAAATAAGAAATGACCTATGTTCATAAGGATATTTTATTCTATTAGAGGAGATAAATATATACCCAAATAATAGCTGTACAGGTTAGTAAGTAATACAATAGAGAGATAACCAAAGTGAAATAGTGGAGAGCAATTCGGTTACAAAGATATAAAGCATGACATAGCTGGATACATTTGAGAAACTATGATTAGTTTTGTGTGGAGAAAAGGAGATAAAGGAGTGATCTTAGCACTTTAATTGAAGTAATTATGGAGTTTGCATGCTCAGGAGTTTGGTTGTCATACAGATAATAGGGAGCCATAAAGGGGTTTGTGTAAAGGATTGATATCAGATTAACTCATTAAAAAAAAAGATTACTTGGGTGGCAATGTAAAGAAGAGATTGGTTGGATGAAATGGGCAAGACAGGAGGCAGAGTTAGGAGACTGTTGTGTAAGTCCATGTGAGAGTGAACAGTCTGAGCTTAGGCAGTAGCATTTGAAATGGAGAGAAAGATTGATGTGAACACTCAAGAAATGAATGTTCTGGGGTCTCTCTTATAAGGACACTAATCCTATTCATGAGGGCCCCACGCTTATAACCTAAGTACCTCTCAGAGACCTCACCTCTTTAATACCATCACCTTAGGCATTTGGATTTCAACCTATGAGTTTTGGGGAAGACACAGATGGGTAATGAAAACTATCTTGGCTCTGATCTGTTTGAGATACCTAAAGATATGTCTGCACTGGAGACATATTTGGGAGTTGTCATCATGAAGGAGGGAACCAAAACAGAATTTGTTAGAACATATCTCTCAGGAATCACTGAATGAGAAAGCAAACTCATTTAAAAGATGGAGGAATTAGAGTTAGTATAGGAAAGTAGGAGGTTAGAGATGAACCAAAAGCAAGAAGCAAAGCCTTCTTGGATACCAAGGAAGGGTAGAATTTTGGGAAGGAAAAAGTGGTCAGAATAAGATAAAGACAAAGTAACCTTTGGAGTGCTTTTTTAGCAGGGCATTAGTGATCTTAGCATTTTCATGTGAAGTGAGGAAGCAGAGACAGAATATAGGCAATTTGAAAAAGCTTGACTGTGATAAAGGCAATAACTGCAGGCAGAGACTTTGAACCTCTATAAAAAAAAAAAAAAAAATCAAGCCAGGTGTGGTTCAGTGGTTGAGCGTCAGCCCAAGAACCAAGATGTCACTGGTTCAATTCCTGTCAGGGCACAAGCCTGGGTTTGATCGCTGGTATGGGGCATGCAGGAGGTAATGTTTCTATTTTATCAATATTTCTATCTCTAAAAATCAATAAAAAATACAAAGTTTGCACTCTTTACTTTCTTTTTTTTTTTTTTTAATATATTTTATTGATTTTTCACAGAGAGGAAGGGAGAGGGATAGAAAGCTAGAAACATTGATGAGAGAGAAACATCGACCAGCTGCCTCCTGAACACCCCCAACTGAGGATGTGCCTGCATCCAAAGCACATGCCCTTGACCAGAATCAAACCTGGGACCTCTCAGTCCACAGACCGATGCTCTATCCACTGAGCCAAACCGGTCTCGGTGCACTCTTTACTTTCATAAAAAAGTTTTCCCAGCCCTAGCCAGTTTGGCTCAGTGGATAGAGCATCGGCTTGTGGACTGAAGTGTTCCAGGTTTGATTCTGGTCAAGGGCACATGCCCGGGTTGCAGGCTCGATCCACAGTAGGGAGTGTGCAGGAGGCAGCCAATCAATGATTGGCTCTCATTATTGATATTTCTCTCTCTCCCTTTCTCTCTGAAATCAATTAAAATATATATTTTTTAAAAAGTTTTCCCCAGCTGAAACCGGTTTGGCTCAGTGGATGGAGTGTCGGCCTGCGGACTGCAGGGTCCCAGGTTCGATTCCGGTCAAGGGCATGTACAGTGGTTGCGGGCACATCCCCGATGGGGGGTGTGCAGGAGGCAGCTGGTTGATGTTTCTCATTGATGTTTCTAGCTCTCTATCCCTCTCCTTTCCTCTCTGTAAAAAGTCAATAAAAATATATTTTAAAAAGTTTTCCCCAAACAATGTATTTTTTATTTTTTTAATATATTTTTATTTATTTTAGAGAGGAAGGGGGAGAGAGATAGAAACAACAATGTTGAGAGAGAATCATTGATCGGCTTCCTCCTGCATGCCCCCTACTGGGGATCGAGCTCACAACCAGGGCATGTGCCCTTGACCGGAATAGAACTAGGTCCTTCAGCCTGCAGGCCGAAGCTCTATCCATTGAGCCAAACTGGCTAACACAATATTTTAAAAAAGGACACAATATTTTAAAAAAGGAGTTATTGTCCAGAACAGGCAAAATTATAAAGCAGAAAGTATATTAGTGGTTTTCTAGGGTTGGTGGAGGCAGTAGTTGGGAAGAAATGGGGAGTGACTGCTAATTAGTATAGTTTCTTTTGAAAGTGATAATTTGTTCTAAAATTGTTCATGGTGATGGTTGCCTAACTAAAATGTACTAAAAACCATTGAATTCTATACTTTAAATTGATGGATTGTATGGGATTTGAATTATATCTCAAAGCTGTGATAAAATAAATTGTCTTAGCTAGCTGCATGCTGTGGTTTTAATTTATATTTCTCTGATGAAAGGGGGATTATCTAGAAGTCATGTTTACGGATCATTTTATTGTTTGCTATATCCACATTTTCATTTATTTATTTATTTATTTATTTATTAATATATTTTATTGATTTTGTACAGAGAGGAAGGGAGAAAGATAGAGAGTTAGAAACATCGATGAGAGAGAGTCATCGATCAGCTGCCTCTTGCACACCCCCTACTGGGGATATGCCCGCAACCAAGGTACATGCCCTTGACCGGAATCGAACCCGGGACCCTTCAGTCCCCAAGCCGACGCTCTATCCATTGAGCCAAACCGGTCCCGGCTATATCCACATTTTCAAAGAGTAAGATAGGAAGCCCAGGAAATGATCAGAGTCTACAAATCCTATAGGTACTTAAGGATTCAGAGTTCTGGAGTTTGATAGAGAACTGTCAAGGAGCCAAGACGGTTTGAAGCTATATATATAGAAGTTTAAAACAATGAACTTGATAAGAGAAAAAATTTATAATTGCAGAGTAGTATTTGTAGTATGACCTAATTTTTGTGTGAAACTCCAACTCTACTGTATACATGTATATTTATATTTTTTGATTCAAATGAAGGTGAAGGTATTAGGATACTTTCATTTTTTGTATTATTTGCCTTTTCTCAATTTTATACACACCTGTTGAGCACCTACTAAGTGCTAGCCACTATATTATGTGCTAGAGGTATAGTATTGAGCATAATGGACAAGGATTCTGCCTTTAGGGAATTTATATTCTTTTTTGTTTAATACGATTTCATTTGTTTTTAGAGAGAGATGAAGGGAGGGGGAGAGAGAGAGAAAGAGAAACATTGAGAAAGAAACATTGATCAGTTGCTTCCTGTACATGTCCTGACTGAGGACCAAACCTGCAACCTGGGCATGTACCCTGATGTGGAATCAAATCCATGACCTTTCACTACGAGGGACAACTCTCAACCAATTGAGCCATACAGGGCTAGAGCTTATATTCTTGTTGGAATAATCATGTTTTTAAGTTGTTTGAATTTTGTCATTTACAAAAAAAAAATTTTTTTTTAAATTAAATTTTAAGTTGAAAGGAAGAATAGTAATAAGGTGGCCCAGAGAGACTATAAATATGTATTAAATCTTAAAAAAGAAGACAAAAAGCATCTGACCTCTCGTTTTTGTACTTTTTTGGATGGGAGAATGAGCTGCCTTACATATATCGTCCTGATTTTAGTGTCTTCCTCATTTGTGCTCATTGGTGCCTGGTACTTCGGTAGTTAAATCAACTTTATATGTGAATCTGAGCAGTGTGGTATTTTCCATAGCAATGAGTTAAAGTCTCCTTGCATGACAGATGAGTGTAGATTGTGAATATATTGGCATCATTTGCCACCAAGTTAAGAGTAAAAAAAGATGATGCCATATGTTATATTATTGTTCCTTTGAACTCATGCTATTTGTTCTGGCATTTTTAATTTTTTTACCCTGAGATAAGATAATCAGCAGAATACTAAGGGATCTGAATATATAAAAGCTGAGAACATTATGCAGTAGAAAAAAGAGCTTCCGGTTGAGCTTGGATAAGCATCTTGTCTCATGTTATTAAATAGAAATGGTTTCTTCCTCAAAAAAGGAAGAAACTTGCCGAAACTGGTTTGGCTCAGTGGATAGAGCAACAGTCTGCGAACTGAAAGGTCTCAGGTTCGATTCCAGTCAAGGGCATGTACATTGGTTGTGGGCACATCCCCAGTGGGGGATGTGCAGGAGGCGGCTGGTCGGTGTATCTCTCTCAACAATGTTTCTGGCTCTCTATCCCTCTCCCTTCCTCTCTGAAAAATCAATAAAAAAATTTTTTTTTTTTAAAGGAAAGAAACTTTTTCATAGTTTTAGGTTTAGGTTTTCCCTAGCCTGCCTTTTTTTCCCTTCCTCGCATGTTATTTGATCTTTTCCCTCCAACTTTAAACAAAGACCTCCTATCAAGGTCCCCACCTACTTAGAAGGGCCCGAATCTAAATCCAAACGGAGTGAGAACCTGAGCCTTTCAGGCACTCAACCTCAGGTCCCATTCCTCTGCTGTATCTCTCTCTGCAGGTTTGGAATTACAAGCTTCGGCGCTGTCTCTTCACCTTGCTGGGGCACTTAGACTACATACGCACCACATTTTTTCATCATGTAAGTGTCCATGTGCCTCTAGTTTTATAGCATTCTTCTGTTTCCTTGTAGGAATCATTGTTTTCCCTCAAGAATCCCAACATTGATACAAAGTTATGTTATTGAGTGACTCTACTAGGATCTCTGTGGTGTTGACCTTCCTTTGTTTCATTCTGTAAAAGAAAGCACTCAGGGCTATATTGAATTAAATCAGAATCAGCACTCCCTTTGCTAAGATAGCTGAGAATTTAGACAATGGAATGTTCCCTCCAAAGAGAGAAGTGGTTACAGGAGCCTGAAAGAACATACTCGTTTAATGTTCAAACCCTTTATCTGGAATATCTTTCAGGAATATCCTTGGATACTGAGCGCCTCAGATGATCAGACCATCCGGGTGTGGAACTGGCAGTCTAGAACTTGCGTCTGGTAAAGCAGGGAACAGAGGGTTCAAAAGTGTCTTCATTCTTCCCAATGTTTTATAATCAACTTCTCTTCAGAATAATCATCTCCCTCCGCTAATGCACAGGGTCTACTGATTAATTATTGATTGTATTTGTAACTTTTTATGTACAAAATGATAAATATAGAGGCAATCTTGTAAGTAATATATGAATCTGGATTTTCTGATCATTTCTTACCAGAAAAAGGAGGTCATATAACTAGGTTTTTAGAATAAAACTTTTAGTGAAACCTGAGCCATAGTCTAGACATCTGTCTTGCTTTGTTTTGCCTTGAGCTTTCCAGGATATAAGGAAGATGTAAGGACCATTTTAAATGATGCCTCTTAAGAGAGATATTCTATTAAAATTAACAGATGGTGGTTTCCACTATGAATTACTAAGATTTCATTTATTTTGATATTTTAATATGGCTTTTAGAAGAGAGCTGTGCCTTCTCAGTTCTCCCAGAATCATTAATATTAAATGCTAATGCATTAGAGGTAAGAAGAGAGCTATTATTAAAACGGTTGGCCTTCTTGTTATTAGTTTAGAATTATTAGGTTGACTTATCTTTGCCTCAAAAAAAGTATAATTGGATTTGTATCTGTTGAATCTGGAGAATGGTTTTTAGCATGTAGGAGTCTGGTGATTCCTGCCTCTAATTTGGCATTGTCTGTTTTCTTCTTACAGTGTTTTAACGGGGCACAACCATTATGTAATGTGTGCTCAGTTTCACCCCTCAGAAGACCTGGTTGTATCAGCCAGCCTCGACCAGACTGTGCGTGTTTGGGATATTTCTGGTGAGCTGTTCAAGTTCAGAGGAAAACCTAATCATGTCGTGTGCAAAACTGCAATTTCTTTAAACAGTGAGGGTAGTTGGCTTAGAACAGGAAAATTTAGAATATTCTTTCCTCAAATAATAGCATCTTTGTTTCTGAGTATATTAAATCTGTTTTCATGGTTCTTCATGTTAGAGGTATTTCCTAAGGAAAGTGTTTGCTCTAGGAAATTTAATTTGAAGAAAGTTACACTTTTTTGTTAGATCAGTTTTAGTAAAATCTATATATCATTGGCAATAGCTCATTAAGAATCAAGCTTTACACAAATTAAAAAAAAAAAACCTTTGGCAAAAACAAAGTTGGGGAATAAATTATTACAGGGAAACAGAACTCTTGAATCCTATGGCCTCATTTAGAAGTAGGAAAATCTTTTCTATTTCTTCTAGTGTAAGGATCATGGGGAGGTGGAGCAGGAGGTGGTACATCCGGAATACCTTTTAATGTTACAACAGACTTCCAAGACCAGAAATTAATTTATAGATTTTGGGTAATTGGGATAGTCTCTCCTTTCACAGTTTATATATCTTAATTTTTTATAGTATTTAAATGTTTAGTACTTTATGAGTCCAATAAGTTGCTAACCAGAAAATGTTTCTCCCATTTTGATACAACATTTATTATCCTTTTACAACATGTCATTTTTGGTTTAGAAACTGCTCGTGATTAGTTTTCCACCATTAACTCAAAAGCACGTAAAGTAAAATAAGCAGAGAGAGAGAGAGAGAGAGAGAGAGAGAGAGAGAGAGAGAGACATTGCACGCCCCCAACTGGGGGTTGAGCCCACATGTGCCTTGACCAGAAATCGAACCTGTGACCTCTTTTTTTTTAAATACAATTTTAGTTTTTCCCTTTGTTTTTTTTTTAGTTTTTTTTTTTAAATATATTTTATTGATTTTTTTTTACAGAGAGGAAGAGAGAGGAAAGAGAGTTAGAAACATCGATGAGAGAGAATCATCGATCAGCTGCCTCTTGCACATCCCCTACAGGGGATGTGCCCGCAACCCAGATACATGTCCTTGACCGGAATCAAACCCTGGACCTTTCAGTCCGCAGACCAACGCTCTACCACTGAACCAAACCGGTTTCGGCTGAACCTGTGACCTCTTAATGCATAATTCAACCACTGAGCCACACTGGCTGTGCAGCCTACCTTTTTTAGCAGTTATTTTAGCCTGAGTTCCAGTAAGTCTAAACATGGGAAGAGGAATTAGCTTTCAGGTCTGTTAGGAACTAAAGCTAATATTTCCAGGAGAGAAAACATTAGTTCTGAGTCAGAAAATGAATACCCTCACATCTAGAGAACTGTTCAAAATTCTAAATTTTCTAAGTGTCTGAAAGGGAATACTCTGAGCGAGGTAAGCAATAAGCAAACAGATCTTTAAAGGAAAAATTGTCTTCTTGATAATTCTCCCATGAGAATTGTGCCCCATGGTGCTTAGATTAACCTGATCTTTTGTGTTAGCCTGTAAATATTTACAATATAGGGATAGATTTAGAAGAGAGATTGCTTTTTATCTTCAGCATCCTAGTAAATTGAAATATCTTATTGTGCTTAGACCTTTGCATATCAAGCCCTTGCAAATGCGTAATCTTTGCAATGACTACTAACGTATTACTTTGCTGCAGCTTCTGTCCTCATCCAACTCTCTCTTCTTACTACTTCCTCTGGTCCCCTCTGGGAGGTGTGCATCAAACTGGTCCATTCTGACAGTGTCCTCTCCTCCCTCTGGATTTGAGTAGCTGCTGTAGAAATTTTCCATCTGTCCAGTCCCCATGCCTTGTCGAAGGCTCAAATAATATTTCCTTTCTAAGCATCTTTTCACTGCCCGTATAACATTCATATGTCTGAATATACCCTTTCCTTTTCCTGAACCATCACAAGCAAGTGCAACAAAGGCTTCCGTTCTGCAATACAGCCTTTCCTTTTCATGTGTTTGTTGAAGCTTATTGGAGGTGAAGATCTTCACAGCTATCTGTTTTTATATCTTTCTTGGAATCTGTTTCATACTCCAGACTCAGAAAAAGCTGGCAGATCCCCTTAAAGGGACAAGTGAAATAAGTGAAAGGAGGCACCTCTGTGATGAGGTATTTATGGAGCTTTGGGAGAGTGCTTCTTTTTTTCATTTTAAGCATTGGCTTGCTTTCTCCTTTCCTATTGGCCGAATGCTCTTCTTGGGCAGGAGACAAGATAATTAAAACTGCCATGTCCTTTTAAGCACTTGTTGCTCCAATGCTGATGTTTACATGCCACTGTAATAGAAGAGAGATTCTAATTCTGATACAATGAAGGTAAGTATGGTCATTGGACTTAAATGTTTATGTTTTCCTACAAGTGTCAACATTTAGGCTTAAAACTATTTAGATTTTATTTTCAGTGATAGCTTTTATTTTCCCCTCTAGGTTAGAGATTTTTTATTCTACAAATACCAGGTAGTTCCATTTTTCTCTTTGCCTCCCAAAATACTTTAAAAGATATTATTTGAGTTCCAATTCTATTATTTCATTTATAAACTGAGTATTAGTCACATAACATATGTTAGAGTGCTTTGAAAACCACAAAGTTCTTTTCAACTGTAAGATGGTAATACTGTTATAATTTTTATTTTGACTATAATGCAAATAGTTAGCTTTTAAAGATAAGTGTAGTTTTGCCATGAATGTGGATCTTATTCAAATGTGACTCTTTTTCTTGTTAATACTTTATTTTTCAATTATAGTGAAGTACAATATTATATTTGTTTCAGTCACTAGACATTTATAAAGCTAAGTGATTACCCCAATAAATCTAGTACCCATCTGACACCATACATAGTTACTACAATATTATTAACTATATTCCCTGTGCTTTATATACCCATGACTATTCTGTAACTACCAATTTGTACTGCTTAATCCCTTTAGTTTTTTCACCCATCCCCACAACTTCCCTCCCATGTGGCAACCCTGAAAATGTTCTCTTTCTATGATTGTGTTTCTGTTCTGATTATTAGTTTGTCTTTTAGAGTTCACATTTAAGTGAAATCACATGGCATTTCCTCTTTTTCTCTCTGACTTATTTCATTTAGCACAATATCTTCTAAGTCCATCAAGTTGCAGATGGCATAATTTTATTCTTTTTTTATGGCTGCAAGTAAGATTCTTTTTATACTGGTGTCTTTTTTCCATTGTTTCAAATTATGGGCTAATTCCTCTCAATGAAACTAGCCTCCAAATGTTTTAATGGCAAAGTACAATATATGTATCCAGATCTATCACCAGTCTTTTAAGCAAGAGCTTAATGGGACATAACAGTTTGAATTATTTTGTCCTTTGCCCAAGAGGCAAGTAGAAGACATGAGTACACTTTTTGCATAGTTTATAGTTTTATAGTCTCTTCCACCAAATAGCTGTTTTACATTTAATAGGTGTAGTTTCCTAAACTCCTTTGGAACTTCCTGTAAGTTTCCTAAAAGCTCCCAGTTTGGGAAACGCTGATCTGCAGCCATCCCAAGTGGCTCTTCTTTGAAAACTCTTTGAGATGATAGAAGAAAAGTTGCTATAGTTTCATAAAGTTGAAAATGGAAAAGTAGAAATGGAATATTTACCTCTTGAGGCCACATTTCAAGTAGGCAATTCTTTTTTAGAAAATATATTTTTATTTATTTTTTATTTTTTTATTGTTTAAAATATTACAAATAGTAGTACATATGTCTCCTTTTTTCCCCCTCATTGACCTTCCCCCGGCCTCCCCTACCCTCTGTCACATGCCCTCACCCCATTCCACCAGTGTCTTGCGTCCATTGGTTATGCTTATATGCATGCATACAAGTCCTTCGGTTGATCTCTTATCTCCCCAGCCTTCCCACTATAATTTGTCAGTCTGTTTGATGCTTCTCTGCTTCTGAATCTATCTTTTTGTTCATCAGGTTATAATGTTCTTGATTATCCATAAAGAAGTAGACAATTCTTGAGGTGAAGTTCGTTGAAGAAGTTAGCTGTGGTAGAAGTTTGGATTGTCCTCTGAGAAGAAATCCCAGTAGTGTGTCTGTTCAGTGTTAAAGGAGCAAAAGAGAAGACAGTGAATGTACTTCAACATTTTGAACATTTTTAGAAAGAGATTGGAGCTCTTGAGTATCTCTTCTTCAGTCTCTAAATTTCTTCCTTCCTTTTTGTTAATGTTAGTCTATCACTGCCTTTCTGTGCTTCTGTTACTGTGCTCTTTTTGGTAACATTATAGTATTTACATCTTTCATCCCACTCCTTATCCCTTCGTAGGTCTAAGGAAAAAAAACTTATCCCCTGGCGCAGTGGAGCCGGATGTAAGAGGACTTACTGGCGTTGATCTGTTTGGAACTACGGATGCAGTGGTGAAGCATGTACTGGAGGTATTTCTCTTTACAGCCATCGCTGGGTATGGGCTCTTTCCCATGGAAACGGTGACAGTGTGTCATTCATGTGTTCATTCCTTCAACAAAGGTTTATACAGTGCTTATTAAGTATTGAGCTATTTTGAGACACTAGAAGTAGAATAGTAGGTGATCCATCAGAAATGAAGCTTACATGCCACGTAAGGGAGAATTATGTTACCTTGTAAAAGCAGTGCAAAGAGGGAGGGAGCTGTCTTAGGCTCCTTTACCATCCTAAAGCAGAGCCTATTCTCTTGTAAGGGAGGACAGAATGGTGGTGGTGTGGAGGTAGATTTAATTAGAGTTATTGAGATCCAAGAATTTTGCCGAAATAAGATTTAAAAATGGAAATGTAGAAAAACTAAGCAGTTTTCCATAGTCCATGTGTATTTAGTAAATAGATTTGAACTTGGATCTGTCTGATTCCAAAACACACCAACTTTTCACCACACTGTATCTCTCAAAAATGCTGCTATTTTGAAACTGCCTTATTTACGATTTTGTCACAATTCCGAGTACAACTATATATATAGGATATAATATATCTGAAAATCAGCAGCACTTGCCCAGCCATCTTGGCTCAGTGGTCGAGCATCAGCCTATGAAACAGGAGATCACGGTTTGATTCCCCATCAGGACATATGTCCAAGTTGTGAGCTCAATCCCCAGTAGGGGGCATGCAGGAGGGAGCCGATCAATAATTCTCTCTCATTATTGATGTTTCTATCTCTCTCTCCCTCTTCCTTCCTCACTGAAATCAATAAAATATTTTTTTTTTTAAATAAGTAGCACTTAAACTTAGTGATCTGAAGATATTTTTTAAATATGTTTTTATTGATTTTTTTATTTTGAGAGAGAGAGAGGAAGGGTAAAGGATAGAGAGAGAGAGAAACATCATCAGCCGGAACTGGTTTGGCTCAATGGATAGAGCGTCAGCTTGGGGACTGAAGGGTCCTGGGTTCGATTCCGGTCAAGGGCATGTACCTTGGTTGCGGGCATCTCCCCAGTAGAGGGTGTGCAAGAGGCAGCTGATCGATGACTCTCTCTCTCATCGATGTTTCTAACTCTCTATCTCTCTCCCTTCCTCTCTGTACAAAATCAATAAAATATATTAAAAGAAAAAAAGAAAAGAAAAGAAAAAAAAAGAAACATCATCAATTGCCTGCCTCCTGCAAGGTGCCTACTGGGGATCAACCTCTTAACCCAGGCATGTACCCTGACCAGGAATTGAACCAGTTACCTCTTGGTTCATGGGTTGACACTTAACCATGAGCCACACCAGCTGGGCTGAAAACTTTCTTATACTCTGAAAACTTATTGACCCCCAAATCATCTTTGTTAATGTAAGTTATAGATGTCAATTTTTACCATATTTAAAATTAAAACCAACCACTTATAAAATATGTAAGTACACATTCCATTAGCCATCAAAGCTTTGGCATCATATGCCTGTAGCTCTGGAAAATTAAACTTAAGATAGAATAGAAATGAAAAGACAAATAATATCTTAGTTTTATAATGAAAATAGTTTTGATCTTGCAGATTTTCTAAAAGAATCTTGATTATTATCCAATTTTCCAACTATACTTGGAGAATTTTTTCATCTACATATATATAAAAGTCTAAGTGACTGGCCAACTGGCCAGTAACTATGACACACACTGACCACCAAGGACCGGACGCTAAACACAGAAACTGCCAATCTACAGTGACTTGGCAGCTGAGGTTCTTGGGTGACTCGAGAGGAGGGAGCCCGATTCCAGGCTGCATCACCCGAGAACTGCCCTCTCAAAATCCGGGACCCTGCAGGGGATGTCAGAGCACCAGTTTTAGCCCAATCCCAGCAGGCAGGCCGAGGGACCCCATCAGTGCATGAATTCATGCACCGGGCCTCTAGTTAAATTATAAAATTGGTCTTTATTCTTGAGGTGCTATAAATTAGTTGAAATTTATAAATAGGTAATAAAACAAGGCAGTATATCACAAATGAAAATGAAGCTGAATATGGGAATAGAAGAATTCCCATTAGAATTTGGGGATAATATTGGATAGATTGACATAGTAATAGTCCCTTTAGTCTTTTCATATGAAGAATAAAAATCAGAGAAACTAATCAACATGGTTCCTTAGTTTGCTTTGAGTAATGGGCATAAAGCTGTTTTAGAAGAACCACTCTTTCCTCATTTTTTCCACAGGGTCATGATCGTGGAGTGAACTGGGCCGCCTTCCACCCCACTATGCCCCTTATTGTATCTGGGGCAGATGACCGACAGGTGAAGATCTGGCGCATGAATGGTTAGTGAACAGTGATGGTATTACCATGATTAAAAAATTGATTGCTGCCGATACTGGTTTGCTCAGTGGAAAGGTCCCAGGTTCGATTCTGGTCAAGGGCATGTACCTTGGTTGTGGGCACATCCCCAGTGGGGGGTGTGCAAGAGGCAGCTGATCGATGATTCTCTCTCATCAATGTTTCTAACTCTATCCCTCTCTCTTCATCTCTGTAAAAAATCAATAAAATATATATATTTTTTAAAATTGATTGCTGGCCAGGCCTGTGTGGCTCAGTATTTGAGTTCGACACATGAACTAGAAGGTCGTGGTTCAGTTCCAGTCCGGGCACATGCCCAGGTTGTGGACTTGATCCCCAGTTAGGCAGCTGATTGATGTTTCTCTCTTTCAATCCCTTTACTTTCCTCTCTCTGAAATAAATAAAAATATATATTTTAAATTGATTGCTGGCCAGCAAGGTGATGTAGCCAGGTCTTCTGGACTTAGAGACTCATTTTCTTACCTTAAATGGTTATGCTGATCCCAGGAGAATAAAAATTTCCTCATTCCCTGTTTTCTTGTGATGGCGTCCTGATTTTGAGGTGTATGAACACAGTGAAACATTCAACAAATGTTTATTTTTAAATTAAATGTATTGGTCTGACGTTGGTTAATAAAATTATATAGGTTTCAAGTGTAGATTTCTGTGATACATGATTTGTATATTGCAGTGTGTGCCTACCACCCAGAGTCACATCATCTTTCATCACCTTACCCTTTACCCTTTACTACCCCGCTCCCCTTTCATCTGGTAACACCATACTGTTGCCTGTGTCTGAGTGTTCCAGTTTTATATCCCACATTTTTCAAGGCTCTGAAGATACAATGGTGACTAAAGCAGATAAAACTCCTGCCATACAGAGCTTATATTTATTTTCTAATGACAGCTAGTGACAAGTAAAACAGGGTAAGGGAATAAATAATAATGGAGAATATGTGCTATAACTGATAGGAGGGTCAAAATGTAAGAACAAATAAATATGTAAAGATTCAGCCAAGCCAGTGTGCTCAGTGGTTGAGCATCAGTCTATGAACCAAGAGGTCATGGGTTCAATTCCCAGTCAGGGCACATACCCAGGTTGCAAGCTTGATCCTCAGTAGGGGTGTGCCGGAGGAAGCCAAATAATGACTCTCTCATCATTGATGTTTCTACCACTCTTTCCCTCCCACTTCCTCTCTAAAATCAATAAAAATATATTAAAAAAAAAAAAAAAAAGATTCAGAGGCTTAAACAAAGAAAATTGCCCTATTAAAAAGAAGTTGCGAATTTTACATTTTGTGGTACTAGTGTACCTTAGCATGTTATTAGAATATCTCATACTTCCAAATCCCAAATGACCTTTTTTTATTTCAGAATCAAAGGCATGGGAGGTTGATACCTGCCGGGGCCATTACAACAATGTGTCTTGTGCTGTCTTCCATCCTCGCCAAGAATTGATCCTTAGTAATTCTGAGGACAAGAGTATCCGGGTCTGGGACATGTCTAAACGGTAAGGGGATTATGACATAGTGGTACCAAACTAAGGGGAAGCCCCTTTCTCTTATCCTCTCTCTTTTTAAAAATTAAATTAGAATACTTAAGTTTGTTTCTCATTGTCTTCAGCATATAGCATATAAAGAGGTCTGATCATACACAGTCATACCTTGGAGATGTGGGGTCAGTTCCAGACTGCAGCAGTCAAGTATATGGCAATACAACAAGGAACACAAATTTTTTTTATTTCCCAGTGTATATAAAAGTTATATTGACCATTAGCTGAGCCTGTTGGTAAAATGGCATCAATAGACTTGCTGGATGCTGGGTTGCTACAAACCTTCAATTTGTTAAAAACAGTATTTGCAAAGCACAATATAGTGAAGCTTGATAAAACTAGGTATTCCTTGGAGCCCCTGGGACACAACCAAATGTGATGGGCTCCAGGACAGATGCCTCGAATTTCTTCTTTATCATGTTAATTGTACCTACACTCACCTAAGTTTGTGTCCATCATTTACTTTTTAACCAATCCCAGGGGTTTCCTACTGCTATGCTTTATCTCACATCCTTAATCCAATGAATTTCATGTAACCCACCTATGTCCCTCATTTGATTGCAATGTATAAATAGAAATGTAACCCGCCATTCTCCGGGGCATTATCTCAATTTATTGAGGTTCTGCTACCTGGCATATGTCGACAATTTGGCTCAAATAAACTCACTAAAATTCTTTAAAAAAACACACAAAAAAACCCACAAACAAACAAAAACTAGGTATTCCTGTATTATGAAAATTTGAAGGGACCTAAAGATCAACCAACATTTAAAAATTTTCTATCAAATAGAAATCTCCCTGTGTATTTTTCTCTTAAATTTAAGTATGTACTTCTGTAGCTAGAAAAATAAGAAATATGAAGTGAAAGCAGTATAGTAGAAAATTGTGACAGATAAAAATTGAAATATCAAAATACTATGGTCAGTTTGAAGTTTCCTTCCTGTTTTTTTGTTTGTTTGTTTGTTTTGTAGAATTTATCATGACTACCTTTATTTAGGATATTTAGTATACTGTTACTGATTTAAATTAGCATTTTGGCTTACCACTTAATACTCTAATATTATGACTAGAGGCCTTCTGCACAAAATTCGTGCAAGGGGCTCGACCCTCACAGCAGCCCTGGCTGGCTTGCCACCCCGCCCCCCTTCCTACTGGTTGTTCTGCCCTCCAGTCTAATTAGCATATTAGCTCTTTATTATGTGGGACTAGAGGCCTGTTGCACAAAGATTCATGCAAAAATAGGCCTTCCTTCCCCTGGCTTCGCTCCCAGCTGCCCCGGAGCCTTCAAGTCCTCGCTCCCTGAGGAGCGCAGATTCTGTAGCTCCTTCCGCCCCAATGCTCTGTGCCTGTGTATGCAAATTAACACACCATCTTTGTTGGGTTAATTTGCATGCTCCTGATTGGCTGATGGTGTCACAAATATTTGGGAAATTTGCATATTTCTCTTTTATTAGTGTAGATGGACTGAAGATTCCTCAGAAATTAATATATTTCTTTGTGCATCTTTTATTTTCCTAGAACTGGGGTTCAGACCTTCCGTAGGGACCACGATCGTTTCTGGGTCCTAGCTGCCCACCCCAACCTTAACCTCTTTGCAGCAGGTAAGGGCCGCATCTTTTCTTTATTTTCTTGTTTTAGCTCAAAGTTTATAAGACTTGAGAGTGATTCTCCATTAGCTTTGTCTCCAGTAAATGCATAGTAGGGTGACAGGAGAAATAGAATTCTCAGCCATGTTGTTGAGGCTTTTTTCCTTTTTTCCTCCATACCTTCTTACAGTGTTCTCTCCTTACCGAGAGCCATTTAACAGTAAAGCCCATTAGTTCCAGGAGACTTAGGAGTGTAATACTGGATGTATGGATTTCTTAACTGAGGACCTAGAAGCTGAGATTTAGCAAAAATATACTAGTGTCAGGCCCTAGTGTGGGTGCTGGTGGTATAGCATAAATGTCCCTTACTTACTGGAACTTTTATTTGCAGTGAAGAGAGATAGACCATAGCAATATATAGTGAAAAAAGCTTTGAGGAAAGTTAAGCAAAAGTAAGGGAGAAAGAGGCCAAAGCTGGTTTGGCTCAGTGGATGGAGCGTCAGCTTGCGGACTGAGGGGTCCCAGGTTTGATTCCGGCCAAGGGCACGTCCCTTGGTTGCGGGAACATCCATAGTGGGAGGTGTACAAGGAGGCGGCTGATTGATGTTTATTTCTCATCAATGTTTCTGGCTCTCTATTCCTCTCCCTTCCTCTCTATAAAAAAATCAATAAAATATATCTTTTTTAAAAAGTTAACTTACTTAAAAAAAAAATAAGTAAGGGAGAAAGAGAGGACTGAGTGTGGGGATTACCAAAGACCATGATGTGAGGGATGCTGAGCCGTTAGAAGAGCATGCCAATAGGGGCACAGCACAGTGAGTAAGGGCCTAAGTACAGGAGGTAAGACCGCCAGACTGTGCATGTTACTCTGAAGGGAAAGCCATTGGAAGTGACACAATCTGGCTTATCATGGAGAGTAGTTTATAGGGCAAAAGTTGAAGGTTTCTCTAAGAGATGGACGATGCCAGTAGGGAAAAAGCAAAACATTTATCTAGAAAAAAAAACACAAAGACTTTCAAAACTAGCATCTGTTTGTTCAGCAAATATGTTTTTGTTCTTATTAGCGGCCCAGTGCACGAAATTCATGCATGGGTAGGGTCCCTAGGCGTGGCCAGAAATCAGGGCCAATCTGTGAGGTGATCAGCAGGGTGATAGGGGGAGGAGGGAACCAATGGCATCCGCCTTGGCTGGTCTGGGGCCTGTGGGCTGGGGGCAGCTCCTTCGTTGAGTATCTGCCCCCTGGTGGTCAGTGCACATCATAGCGACCGGTCTGTCCCCCATTTAGTCGAATTACATATTAGGCTTTTATTATATAGGATAGGATTATAAGCTGAGACTGGGGAGGATGGAAGTGATTGTAATTCCTCCCTTGAGGAAGCACTATGCATCATGGGGGTGGTAGACATACATAATTACAGTGTAGGGTGAGTGCTGTATGGAGGTTTGCACAAAGTATTAAGAGAACACAAGAAGGCATGTCTAAGTGTAGCAGTGTGAGAAAGTACTGCAGGTCCTCAAATAAAAATAATATAATTTTGTTCAGCATTTTGTTAAAATGTTAAGATGCTATAGGAACTTAACTTTTGTTTGTAGCAATTACCTTATGATAAAGTTGGTTATCATTATACATTGTTTTGCTTAAAGTTACAAAACCCATCAAACATGTTAGGTAAGGATTTATGTATCAGGAAAGGATTCACAGAAATTTGTTTAAATAAAAAGTCCAAGAGTCATGATAATTTAGGCAAATAATAGATGCATTTAGACGTCTTAACTTATTTTTAGTATACATATATAATCCTTATCCTCGTATTTCTCATTTCCAGCTTTCTTTCTTGCCTTCAGTTAATTATTTCCTCTCTTCTCTCTGTGCCCCAGGTCATGATGGTGGCATGATTGTGTTTAAACTAGAACGGGAGAGGCCAGCCTATGCTGTTCACGGCAATATGCTGCATTATGTCAAGGACCGGTTCTTACGTCAGTTGGATTTCAACAGCTCTAAAGATGTAGCTGTGATGCAGTTGCGGAGGTAAATCAGACTTGTTTCTTAACTTCAAACTGAACTCAGTCCTTTTAACAACATTTTGGATCTCCTCTCCTGACACAGATTGAACCCCGATTGGCTGAGACTGTTCAGTTTAAGACATGGTGGACAAGGAGAGAGCCATTTGGGGGATGGGAGTTCCCCTGTTGAGAATCCTGGTGACCCTGTGGGCAGGAAATCATACTGCCACACTTTGCCAGCTCTCTTGCAAACCAGAGAAAGCTTCCTGGTAGAGAGTAGCCCAATTTGATGACAGACCTTGTTGCCTTTATTTCGCATATCTATAACTCTTCTTTGCTTTCTAGCAAAATATGTGGAACTCTAAACCAGATATATGTCTTTGGAAACTCTAACTCTGAATATACAACTTCTGGGATGCCTGGCAAAAGGAACAGTCCTCTTTGGAAGCCAGCTGCATCATCACACTGAAACATTCATGGTGGCAAACGGGCTTGATAAGAACCCTCTAGCATGACTACAATAAAAAGACGGGTTTATCTGAACAGGAGAAATTACCCAGACAAGTCGCACGTTCCTCTGTGGTGTCCACTGCAGTTATGTGTTGGAATTTGTATCCAAGGCAAACCGATCCTATTTATTACAGTAGTGCTAACCCTGCCTCTGTTAAATAATTTGACTGGTAGTAGGGTGTGCTTTTTTTAAATACTGTTTGCTCAAAGCTGGATAGGGAAGTCCCCAAACCTTAAGGGATGGAAGAAAATAGATGCACTATTTATTTACTTTTATTCCTGATTATAAAAGTGACAAATGTATGTGTAAAGATTAGATAAGTAAGAGGTGTAGGAATAATTCTTTCTTCCTTCTACTCTTATACCTCTTTCCTATTTTCTCTATGCATTTCTAGTGGTTCCAAATTTCCAGTGTTCAATATGTCATACAATCCAGCAGAAAATGCCGTCCTACTGTGTACAGTAAGTAACCATTGAGTGCTCTTAGAGCCTCCCCATTTCCCATAGGCTCGCTCTTGTGCCACAGGATTCTAATGTATTCTTAGAAGTTATTTAATGGTCATTTTGAGAAAACTAACACAAAACAGAGGCTTAAACCAAGTAGGCTTCAGTTGTCATAAACATGTTAAAGGTTTGTGAACTTACATCTTTCATAGGCTAACTAATACCTTCTAAACATTATGGAGCATCTAAATGAATGACCCTAACCGTTAAAAGTAATTTGAGGAATGTTTAAGGTTATACCTTAGGAAAGGGAGGTGCTTATTTTGATCTTCCATTTTTGTGAAAATATTAGAGCTGACTTTGAGAGGAGTTCCTCTCAGGGCGGTTGCCTTCAGGGTCATCAAGTAGAATTATCTTAATTTCTTGCCATACAATTCAAAAAAGAAATGACATTCAAATTTTAGAACCCTGGTTGGCAAGTTAAAATAAATGAGACCTGTCTTTCCCAATATGACTTCTAGATCTAATCCAGTCCTTTTTTTTTTTTTTTGATTTCAGAGAGGAAGGAAGAGGGAGAGAGAGATAGAAACATCAATGATGAGAGAGAATCATTGCTTAGTTGCCTCCTGCATGTTCCACACTGGGGATCAAGCCCAAGCTCCTAACCCGGGCATGTGCCCTAACCCGGAATCAAACCGTCACCTCTTGGTTCATAGATCGCCACTCCACCACCTGAGCCATGCCTGCCAAGCTCCAGTTCTTTTTCAACATCTAACAGTCCCATATTTTCCTCCTGGCAATTTTCTTCAAATTTTTTTTTTCCTTCAAACACACTTTTAAGTTGATAAGTATACTTAGTTGGGGCACTAAAATATTGGGATTTTAGCCGAAACCGGTTTGGCTCAATGGATGGAGCATCGGCTTGGGGACTGAAGGGTCCCAGGTTCGATTCCGGTCAAGGGCATGTACCTTGGTTACGGGCATATCCCCAGTAGGGAGTGTGCAAGAGGCAGCTGATCTATGACTCTCTCGTTGATGTTTCTAACTCTCTCCATTCCTCTCTGTACAAAATCAATAAAATATGTTAAAAAAAATTTTTTTAAATAAATAAATAAAATATTGGGATTTTAATCTGTTAATTTGTGGAATAGAGAGCAGTTTTTGTTTTCATTCAAGTAATATCTGCATCTTTGGAGGATAAAAGAAAAATGAGTGACAGGAATACTGAGTTATTTGGCAACAAGCCCTGTAAGTTTTAGCTACGGAGACATTCAAATGCCGTCGGGGTTAAGGGTGGGGAAAGTATATAGTTTCTGTGTAGTTATACTGTTTGCTCTGTCAGAATAAACTAATATCTTGGGTGCCTCTTACTAATAGTTTAATTTTCTCCTTCTACAGAGAGCTAGCAATTTAGAGAATAGTACCTATGACCTATACACCATCCCCAAGGATGCTGACTCTCAGAACCCTGATGGTATGTTTTCTCTTTATTCCTCAACTCTACTTCCAGTTCTCCCCTCCCACATCTTCCTTCCTCTTTGAAATTTTCACATTCCATCCTCGGGCTGTGGCCACATCACTCACGGCTGTGGCAGGTGGCACTGACAATTGCATCACAGGCGACTATGGTGTGAAATATTCATGTTCCGCTTTCATTTTATTACTCCAGCTAGATATATATATTTTATAATTTGGTTATTAGAAACTCTCCATATTCTCTTTCAGCACAGCGTGTTATCCTAGTTTATTGTCAGCCGATATGACTTTCACCCTGGTAATTTCATTTATTCTAAATGTGGTTCCAATCTTACAATGTCTCATCCTGGGACTAGGGATTTATGCTCCCCATCCACATCCAGATCCGCTTTGCTTCCTTTCGCTTGTCAAAAAGATGAGGCTGCTAACAGCCCCACATTCCACCAGGGATCCCAGGATCCAGCTGAGACCCCTGCCTACCTCTTCCATCACCACCATATCTTGTTGGTGTCCTTACTACTAGAACGTGCTGACAAAACATTGTCAGGATAGATCGGAGTCTTTCTAATGCTCCTGTCCGTGCACGTCCTCCAGTTGTCTTACAGGTCAGGTCTGTTCCTCAGGTCCCCACTCTTACTAGCATACTTTCATGATGGTTTAGACCCCATCAACAAATTCTGAGAAATACTTTTCTAGCTCTGTTCTTATTGTGGGTGCCACTGGGTCATTATCTCTTTAAGTGTGGAATGGCAAGAAAAGAGAAAGCCTCTTCTATAAATTAATCAGTTAAGCCAATTTTTTACTGAATTTTGTGATTTGGTCCCTCTCTACTCACCTCGTGCTTCCCCCACCCCCCATGTGTTTACAGTGAATTGAGTTTAAGATGCCACTTTTATTTTCTCTTCTCCATCTTTTGAGGAAGATGATAATTAGTAAAGAAGTAAAGGTGCATTCCATAGGCAGCAGAGAGGAAGAAGAGCAAAAGCCTGGAGAGTGAGGTTCCCTAGCTCCTGGAAAGTGAGAGCATTGGCTGTCATAAGAATTAGTTTTGTATAGAGCCTGTCCCATCACACACACACACACACACCCCACACCCCCAGGTGCCAGAGATGTACAAAGCAAGACTGACCAGCACATTCTGTTTAGTTTTCTGCTGATACTAACAGGCCCAAGAATATTGCTGCACACTCTTTGGTGTATCTTTCTTGAAGTTTTCCCGGGAGTGGAGTGCCCTGCAGAATTCTAATGAGCCAGTGAAATGTTTGGGAACTGAGGAACATTTTGTAACTTTCTTCAGAGTAACGAGGATGATGGATGGACGTCTTTGGAGCAACAACTTGGTGCTAAATACTGCCCAGCATCGATTTTGTTGGAGTGCTCTGCCCAATCCTGCTCTATTAGGAGGTCTACATTTGCATGTTAAAAGCAGCAGAGCAGCTGCATCCTGGGGAGGAGGCTCTGTCTCGACTGCAGCTTGTTGAGATAGGAGAGCCTATGACACTGGCAGGCTGCTTGCAGTGTGCCAACAGCTTGGCCAGCGAGGCCCTGCTCATTAGCTTGATGGAGTGTGCTGTCTCCCAAGATGGGCAGTCCTTCTGCCAGTACATGGTGTTGGCTGAAATGCAGTCACTTGGCCTAGAGAAGAGAGGCTTGGCAGGGGTAGAGGTTGGAGTTTGGAGGGGACTGGTGGGAGAAAGTCACTGACAACAGCCCCCGGTTATGGCTGAATTAGTTATGAAGCAGCTGAACTGGCAAAGCCAACATGGCAGCCAGACTGGCAGCTCCATGGCACCTGACTCTGTCACCTGCCAGTGGCTCACCACATGCTCCCGCCCTTTGGTTTTGTTTTTCTCAGCTCCTGAAGGGAAACGATCCTCGGGCCTGACAGCTGTTTGGGTTGCTCGAAATCGGTTTGCTGTCCTAGATCGGATGCACTCAGTGAGTCAAGCCTAAAAGCGGAACCTAATTTGGGGAGTAGGATAGCAGTGGCTTTTGTATTGAAGAATAAAGGGCACCTCCCCCGCCCCCCCCTCTCCCCTGAGCAGCTGTAATCCTTGTGTATCAGCACTACCTCTATCCCTAGCCTTATCCCAATCCCCCTGTGGAAAAATGGCCTTAAAATTTATTTGATTGGGTTACTGTGGCCCTGGGCTTAAGAACCAAGCTAAAGTCACTCTTGACGACATCAAATTTGAAAAAGGTGGTCTGGATGAGGAGTTGACCTCATCCTCCAACCTCCAAAATGTAATAGACCCTAAACAAAATAAACAACGCTCTCAAGAAAATATTTAACAAATTTAAAGCCCAGAAGTACTATTCTCTTTGGTTGATTGAGGAATTAAGACTTTATTGGGCGGGGGGTGGGGAGAGGAGAATATTGGACTTCTCAGGATATTTCAGTTGGAAAAAAAAAGAGGGGAGAAAAAAACAAAAAACTATCAGGGCCCTTGGAGAGAATCTTGGTTGGAAAGTCTACCAAGACTGCTGATTGACCCGGACAGGAAAAAAAACCAAAGCCTCATTTATTGAAGCTAAGAAACAATGGCTGAGGGACATGGTCAGCTCTTGTCATTTTATATACACACACGTCTCTTAAGCCCCCTCTAACTGTCATTTCAGCTTCTGATCAAGAATCTAAAGAATGAAATCACCAAGAAAGTTCAGGTGCCCAACTGTGATGAGATCTTTTACGCTGGCACAGGCAACCTCCTGCTTCGAGACGCGGACTCCATCACACTCTTTGACGTGCAGCAGAAGCGGTAACGTGTCAGGTGCCCTGAGCAGACAGGCGTGCAGGGGGCAGAGTAGACATTCTCAGTGGGAGCTTTTTTCCCCCAAGTGAGTTTGCCTCTTGGCTTGATCACTTCTTGTGCTATGATTCCAAACTGTGTTTCTCCTTTTTGCCTCTCCATCCTGTACAGATACATAACCTTATAAGAAGGGGCTTATTTATTTTTAAAACACCAACCTGAACAAAGAATGCTCTTGGGATTTAGAATGCTAGGGACTCAGGAATGGAAAATGCAGTTTCTGTACTTGAAGGAGCTTATAGTCAACTGGTAACAACAGACATACACAAATCCCTAATAATGGAGATAAGGCCATGTCTTATTACATTAATGAGGGAGTTGAAGAAGGAGGAAGTGTACAATACAGAGAATGTCTCTTTGTACTCTTTAAGAAATTGAAGTTTACATTAATTTGGAGATAGAAGAAGGTAGGTCTTAACCTGAGACAAAGGAATCAGGTGTGCTCATGTTTGCCTTTCTCTTTCGGTCCCAGAACTCTGGCATCTGTGAAGATTTCCAAGGTGAAATATGTCATCTGGTCAGCAGACATGTCCCATGTAGCTTTACTGGCCAAACATGGTAAGTCTTCATTATATCCACGCTGATGTGGAAACCAGTCCTTCCCTCCCCCTCCCTGCAAGTCCACTCACCCTAGCCAGCAGAGCACTCATCCCCTATGCCTTTTTCAGCCATTGTGATCTGTAACCGCAAACTGGAGGCTCTGTGTAACATTCATGAGAACATCCGTGTCAAGAGTGGGGCCTGGGATGAGAGTGGGGTATTTATCTATACCACAAGCAACCACATCAAATATGCTGTCACCACTGGGTAAGTCACTGATCTAAGATACAGACTGGGAGAAGGTAGCTTCTTAAAATCACTCTCCTGTCTCAAGAGATGGAACTGAACTCCTCCCTGAATTTTCTTCCTGGAAAAGCTTAGTCTAAACATATTAGACATATATGTGCTAGGGGCATCCAAACATTCTTTGTTCAATTCTTTTAGAATTGTGAAATACGACACAAATATAGAATATGAGACAGCTGTTACAGAGAGAGAATAGCAAATAGTTATGTAAACATTTGTACAACTGTTGCCCAAGTCAATATGTAGAACAGTTCTGACACTCCAGAAGCCCTTTGCTACATGGTCATTATTGATGACAACCACCTTCATTCTCCACCCAAAGATAACATTATTCTGACTTTTATGGTAATTTCTTCTTTGCTTTTCTTTGTGATTTTACCACTCAGTTTGTGTCTTAAAATAATATGATTTAATTTTTTCTGGTTTTGAACATCATGTAAATAAAACCATACTGAATATATTATTTTATATTTTGCTGTGTTCAATATTTTGTTTAAGATTCATTCATCCATGATGTAGCTCTAATGTTATTTATTTTTATTGTTGTATAATATTCTATTATATAAATATACCACATTTTATCAGTTCTACTCTAGAGGAATATTTGAGTGACTTCTAGTTTTGGGCTATTTTGGGAGAATGTTCTTTTAAATATTCTTTTACATGTTTCTGGTGCATATGCACATACATTTCTCTTATGTATCCACCCAGAAAAAATACTGCTGGGTCATAGAGTATGCATATCTTTACATTTCCTAGGTAATGTGAAATTGCTTTCCAAAGTGGTTGTATTATAAAAGTTTCCTTGCTTGTCATCTTGGCCAGCACCTTCCTTTGTCAGACTTATTTTTGTTTATCTGGTGGGTGTGTAACCATCTCATTGTAATTTTACTTTGTCTAATTCCTAATAAGATTAGGCAACTTTTCATTTGGCCCTCCATCAGGATTTCCTCTTCTTTGAATTCCATTCACATCCTTTCTTCTTCTTCTTTTTTTTTAAATATATTTTATTGAATTTTTTACAGAGAGGAAGAAAGAGGGATAGAGAGTTAGAAACATGGATGAGAGAGAATCATCTATCAGCTGCCTCTTGCACACCCCCTACTGGGAATGCGCCCGCAACTAAAGTACATGCCCTTGACCGGAATCGAACACAGGACCTTTCAGTCCTCAGGCCGACGCTCTATCCACTGAGCCAAACCAGTTTCAGCCTTTCTTTTTCTTTTTAATGAGTTATCCTTGATCATTTGTAGACATTCTTTATATCTACTTGACCTTTGAAAGTGTGGCTAGGGGCACCACTCCCCACGAATTTGAAATTCTTTGCTTAACTTTTGACTTTCCAAAAACTTAACTATTAATAGTAATAACCTACTGTTAACAAAAGCCTTACTGATAATGTAAGTTGATTAACACGTTTTGTATGTTATATGCATTAAATACTGTAGTCTTTAATAAAGTAAATTAGAGAAAAATTTTTATTTAAAAAATCAAGGTGGAGAAAATACATTTACAGTATTTATTGAAAATACCTTTGTAACTAGACCTGCATAATTCAAACCCACGTTGTTCAAAGGTCAACTGTCTTTGAGTGTCAGTCTTTTGTCAGGGCTCTGTAGTACAGATATTAGTATCTCCTCCCATTCTGTGGCATGTCTTTTGACTCTCATCATGATACCTTTCAATGAGCATAAGTTCCTAATGTAGTTGAATCTGTGAATATCCTTTATGGGTATTGAATTTTTTGTCCTACTTAAAAAACTCTTTATTGCCGAAACCGGTTTAGCTCAATGGATAGAGCGTCGGCTTGGGGACTGAAAGGTCCCGGGTTCAATTCCGGTCGAGGGCATGTACCTTGGTTGCGGGCATATCCCCAGTAGGGGGTGTGCAAGAGGCAGCTGATCGATGTTTCTAACTTTGTATCTCTCTCCCTTCCTCTCTGTACAAAATCAATAAAATCTATTTTAAAAAAACACACAAAAAAAAAACTCTTTATTGACTCCAAGATCATAAAGGTATTCTTTATATTCTCTAGTAGAATTTTTATAGTTTTGCCTTTCATAGCTAGGTCCATCTACCTGAAGTTTATTTTTGTGTATGGTTTGAGGTATAGGGGACTCAGTATATGCATTTAACACTATAAATTACCCATCAAATATTATATTATACCTGTAAGTTTTAATTTTGTTAACTTTTTCTTTTCATTCAGTTTAAAATATTTTGTTTTTTGTTATTTCTGTGTGTGTCAGAACTCTTCGCATCTATCTCCTTTCTTATATACCTTATAAGGAAGGAATTAATTATCCATAGTGGCCTAGTGCTTATATATTAGAACTTTAGTAGGTCGGATTCCTATTGCCATGTCTGTTAACTCCTAAATTAATAGTTTATGAAGAAAGATCGCACTATTTGCTTTATCTTTCCCACTTCATAATAAAAAATAAAATAAATAAGCATGGCATTTAATTCTGTTCTATTTTGAATAACTTCCCATCTATATCATTGTCCAAATGGCACTGGACAAAATGATAATGAGAGGATAAAGGGCTGTGGCTAGGCTTTGTCCATTCCTTTATAGCCTGGATTTTTCCCCTCACTCACTGAAAGTGGTTCTCTCTAACTCCTCTTAGGGACTATGGGATCATTCGAACTCTGGATTTACCCATCTATGTCACAAGGGTGAAGGGCAACAACGTATATTGCCTAGATAGGGAGTGTCGTCCTCGTGTGCTCACCATTGATCCTACTGAGTTCAAGTTCAAGCTGGCCCTGATCAACAGAAAATATGATGAGGTATGAAAGAAGAAAACATGCTAAGAGTATTGAGAATTACTTATTTCCTATAAGTAATCTCTATTTCCTGCCCTACCCCATCCCAAATGTCTAGGTACTGCACATGGTGAGAAACGCCAAACTAGTAGGCCAGTCTATTATTGCTTATCTCCAGAAGAAGGGCTATCCTGAAGTGGCACTGCATTTTGTCAAGGACGAGAAAACTCGCTTTAGTCTGGCACTGGAGTGTGGAAACATTGAGGTGAGAATAATCCTATCTAATAAAAAAGTAATGTGCAAATTAACCATCACTCCAAGACACAAGATGGCCACCCCCAGTGGCCAAAGATGGCTGCCCCCATGTGGACACAAGATGGCTGCCACAAGATGGCCTGCAGGGGAGGGCAGTTGTGGGTGACCAGGCCTGCAGGGGAGGGCAGTTGGGAGAGATCAGGTCTGCAGGGGAGGGCAGTTGTGGGTGATCAGACCTGCAGGGGAGGGCAGTTGGGAGAGATCAGGTCTGCAGGGGAGGGCAGTTGTGGGTGATCAGACCAGCAGGGAGGGAAGTTAGGGGTGACCAGGCCAGCAGGGAGGGCAGTTAGGGGCAGTTGGGCCAGCCAGGAAGCAGTTAGGCATTGATCAGGCTGGTAGGAAGAAGCGGTTTGGGGCAATCAGGCAAAGGCAGGCGAGTGATTGGGAGCCAGCAGTCCTGGATTGTGAGAGGGATGTCTGCCCGCCTGTTTAGTGCACTGGGCCTCTAGTGTGGTTATAAGCTCCATATCAGTGTGGAGAAGGTGAGGATTAGGATGGCATTAGGAAGGCATTATTCTGGGCTTGCTTCTTTAATAAGTATAATAGAATTTGGGGGGCGGGGTGTTAGTTGTTAGATATAACCATCTTTCTGATGCTATTTGCCCATCTCTACTTTTTCCTATCTGTTTCTGCCACAGCACTTCTATTGATTTCATGCTTAGTCTGAATTCAGTAAATTTAGAATAGGGGCAAGATAGCATGGGATTAGAAAAATCTCCTTTCTTGACATTTGACCTGCTCGTTGGCTGCTTAGATGAAAGAGTCCTTATTAAATGTTGGGCCCTAGAGTCTGTAGGCATTATTTTTAAATGGGGAGAGGGCTTAGGAATGTAGACCTTTCAGTTTAGAACTTCCTTTTATTATTTCTCCTGTCTTCTCTAAAGCCCTTGTGGATCTTCAGACTTGGCAAGTAGGAAATAACATAGCTAAGAAAGGTTTGGCTCTATGGAATCAACAACTGCTAAGAAGTAATTTTGTAAAAACTAAATTTCTGATGACAATGTGATGTAATTTTTCTATCCATGGCTCCATATGGGGTTATACTTGTTGATGGGATTTCCAATACAATTAGGCTGCAAGTGAGGCGTGATTGAAAGTTCCTTGGGAGATTTATTTAGACGCAAACACTATCATCCCTGGCTTGGAGCCACGGTGCCCATCCTGTTAACTAACCCTGAGGATTCTTTAGATTGCTCTGGAAGCAGCCAAAGCGCTGGATGACAAGAACTGCTGGGAAAAGCTGGGAGAGGTGGCCTTGCTACAGGGGAACCACCAGATTGTGGAAATGTGTTATCAACGCACCAAAAACTTTGACAAGCTTTCCTTCCTATATCTCATCACTGGCAACTTAGAAAAACTTCGCAAGATGATGAAGATAGGTGAGGCCCCAGAAACTAAGGATGGGAAGAGGGGTCCTGGTGGGGGAGGAGGAATCTAGAGAGGAGACAGAGAATTTAAGAGAGAAGGCCTAACGTGGTGTCTCTTACTGACTTGGTACAGCCGAGATCCGAAAGGACATGAGTGGCCATTATCAGAATGCCCTGTACCTGGGTGATGTGTCAGAACGGGTGCGGATCCTAAAGAACTGTGGGCAGAGTAAGTATCTTTCCAGACTCACCTGTTCCTTTGGGGCCTTAGGAAGAATGTTCTCTTCCTGGTGATTATTCAGGTGTAGTAGAGAGGGATTTGCCTTCATTGGGCAGTTTTTCAGAAGAGAGTATGCTCCTACCATGCTCAGAGACTTTCTTCAAAGCCAAATGGAGGCCCAGCCAGAATATTCAGTCTGTCCAAGCACTCTTAGGAAAATATTTAATAGTCGTGGAGGAGGTAGAAGTTGTAAAAGGTCCTGAGCAGGCACCCTAGTTAATACAGTTGGTTAGATGCCATTGGAATTTTATTCTTTTAATTCAGTTCCCGAGGTTTTGCTCATTTATTTATTTTTTGTTTATATATTCAAGGGATATTTTTTTAAATGTCGCTATATACCAAGTATTATACTAACATGTGAACAAGAGATGTACAGATGTGGTTTGGACCAAGGTGCTAGTAGTGAAGGGGTGAGCAATGGACAGTCTTAGTGTATAAAGGTAGAATCAGCATGGTTTATTAAAGGACTGGATGTGGGATTTTTAACAGAGGAGTCGGCAGTGATTCCCAGGTTCTCATCAACATTGATGATAGATCTTAAAGATAAGCAACTGTATTAGTTAGGTACCTGTTGCTATGTAACAAATTGCACCCAAACTTAGTAGTTTAGAACAACAGACATTGACTGTTTTCATATGCAACATGATTTAGCTGGGTGCCTTTCTCAGTGTCTCTCATGAGGCTGCAATCAAGGTGTTGGCCAAGGCTGCAGACATCTCAGGGCTCACGTGGGGGAGGATCTGCTCCCTCCCGCGCTCACTACATGGCTGTGAGCAGCCCTCAGGTCCCCGCTGGCTGTTGGTTGGGAGATGGCATTTTTCTGCTTCTCCATAGTGCAACTCCCTCCCTCAGCAAGGGAACAGGAGAGGGCATCCAAGATGGAAGTCACAGTATTTGTATCCTAATCTCAGGATTGATGCTCATTGCTTCTGCCATGATGTCCTAGTCATTAGAAGCAAGTCAATGAGTCCAGCCCACACTTAAGGGGATGGGATTATGCAAGGACTTACCTGGAGGCAGGGATCACGGGGAGGCATCTTTGAGTCTGCCTACCCACAGCAGCATTCACTTGGAAATGTACCTGAACCACAAAGTCTAATTTTTCTGCAGAATCACTGGCTTACCTAACAGCTGCTACCCATGGCTTAGATGAAGAAGCTGAGAGCCTGAAGGAGACATTTGACCCAGAAAAGGAGACAGTGAGTCTTTACATGAGTATCTCTGATTAACTCTGAAATCTTGGGATGTTTGTGTCCTTTTTATCCTCACCCAAAGAATGAGGCTATTTTTCCCATTGATTTTTAGAGGATAGAAGGGAAGAGAAAGAAAGAGAGAAGCATCGATGTGAGAGACACATTGATTAGTTGCCTCCCATATGCACCCCAACCAGGGACTAGGATCAAGTCTGAAACCCAAATACGTGTCCTTGACCGGAAATCAAACCTGCAACACTCTAACCACTGAGAAACACAGGCAGGGTTTGGGACGTTTAAAATATTTTTTATTTTATTTATTTTTATTTTTTGAGAGGGAGCGGGGAGGGAAGGAGAGGGAGGGATAAAGAAATAGAAGCATTGCCCTGACCGGTTTGGCTCAATGGATAGAACGTCAGCCTGTGGACTGGAGGGTCCTGGGTTCGATTCCAGTCACGGGCATGTACCTTGGTTGCAGGCATGTCCTTGGAAGGGGGTGTGCAGGAGGCAGCTGATCAATGTTTATCTCTCATTGATGTTTCTAACTCTCTATCCCTCTCCCTTCCTCTCTGTAAAAAAAAAAATTAATAAAATATAATTTTTTAAAAAATTAAAAGAAATAGAAACATTGATTGGCTGCCTCCTGCACTCCCCACTACTAGGGATTGAGCCCATAAACTGAGCATGTGCCCTGACTAAGAATTGAACCTGTGATTTCTTGGTTCATGGGTCAACTCAGAGCCACACCAGCCAGACAGTCTTGGGGTATTTTAAATCTACAAATGTCACCGTCCTACCTGAGGGCCTATAACCATCCCCTACATGATTCCTGAGAGTTGTTTGCTTTTAACTTTCTACCTTTCAGATTCCAGATATTGACCCTAATGCCAAGTTGCTCCAGCCTCCTGCACCTATCATGCCATTGGATACCAATTGGCCCTTATTGACGGTGTCCAAAGGGTTCTTTGAAGGCTCCATTGCCAGCAAGGGTAAGTGCTCACTGCTCCCATATCGTTTTTGTGGTTTGTTTTATGGAGAACTGTCCTGGGGAGTACTGTCGGCTCTCCTCTCCTTTTCATCTGTCCTTTTTTTCTGTATGAAGCCTCATGGAGCACAGAGATGCTGGAGTTACAGTACACAGTGTTTTAAAATCTAAAAAACATTATGAGATCCTTAACATTTGGAAAATAGGTGGGGAAAAGAGAGATGATATAGTCCATGCTTCTAACAACCACTATTAGCATTTTGGTGTATTTCCTTAGGTTTTACTATATACATATACTATTCTGTCCATTCAGTATTTTATCACTCATGATGTACAATGTTAAAAGCACAAATTCAGCTACCTCAAATTCTGTCATGTGGGTATATGCAGATGTGTGTCACCATACCCACCCTTAACTCTCCTCCTGACTTATTGGATATGTCTACTAAGTCATTTCTCCTGACTTACAGCTTAAATAGATCCTTTGGCATTTTGCTCCCAGCTCTGCTCTTTGCTCTATCTTCTCTAACTTACCTCGATTAAGAAGCAGTTTTTGGCTGAAACCGGTTTGGCTCAATGGATAGAGCGTCGGCTTGGGGACTGTGTTCGATTCCGGTCAAGGGCATGTACCTTGGTTGTGGGCATATCCCCAGTAGGGGTTGTGCAAGAGGCAGCTGATCGATGACTCTCTCTCTCATCGATGTTTCTAACTCTCTATCTCTCTCCCTTCTTCTCTATACAAAAATCAATTTTATATATATATATATATATATATATATATATATATACACACACACACTTTTTTTTTTTTTTTTTTTTTTTTTTTTTTACAAAGCAGTTTTTGGTAGCTGGAAGGCCAATTGTTTCCCTCTCTTCTGTTCCCTCTCTATGAAATTTGCTACTGAAAGCATAATTTAAATATTATAAATAACGAACAAAAACAGTAAGGAGACAGATCCTTACCACCTGCTTTTGTAAGGAGTCAGCCTGTCTGCAGAGGAGGCCACATCTCACACTTGCCTGACTATAACCAGCTTTTTGTCCTTTGCCTCTGCAGGGAAGGGAGGAGCACTGGCTGCTGACATTGACATTGACACAGTTGGTACTGAGGGCTGGGGAGAGGATGCCGAGCTGCAGCTGGATGAAGGTAAGAATACAGTCCCAGGACTGGTCTGAGCAGAGGCACCCCTGGAGTGGCCTGCGGGCAGTTCTGCAGGTTCCACACCATGGGACTAATAAGGATCTCACATTTTGCTTCCCTTTGGCTAAGATTTTGTCATTACAAGGATCTATTCTGAGCTTGGGCTTTCCTTACAGATGGATTTGTGGAGGCTACAGACAGTTTGGGAGATGACGCTCTTGGGAAGGGACAGGAAGAAGGAGGTGGCTGGGAGGTAGAAGAAGATCTGGAGCTCCCTCCTGAGCTGGTACGTGGAATTCTTACCCTTGTAAAGTTCTCACTGTTGTCCCTACGGAAGCCAGTGGCCTTATTGCCCTCCCCACCATCACCACCCCTGCCCTGAGGTCCCCAAAAGGAAGGGGATCTACACCCTCCTAATATGATGCTTTATCTCCCACTGTATATAATAAAGAGGTCATATGCAGATTGACTGGTATGACCAAGATGGCCACCCCCATGTGGTCACAAGATGGCTGGCACAGATGGCCGGCAGAGGAGGGTAGTTGTAGGCGATCAGGCCAGCAGGGGAGGGCAGTTGGGGGCAATTGGGCCAGCAGAGGAGGGCAGATGGGGGTGATTGGGCTAGCAGGTGAGGGCAATTGGGGGCGATCGGGCTGGCAGTGGAGGGCAGTTGGGGGGATTGGGCCAGCAGGAGAGCAGTTAGGCATCAGTCAGGCTGGAAGGGTAGTGATTAGGGGGTGATCAGGCTGGCAGACAGAAACAGTTAGGGGCAATCAGGCAGGCAGGCAAGCTGTTGGGAGCCAGCAATCCCAGATTGTGAGAGGGATATCCCAGATTGGAGAGGGTGCAGGCTGGGCTGAGGGACAATCCCCCACCCCATGCACAAATTTCATGCACCAGACCTCTAGTTTGAAAGAAAGAAGAAGGAGATAATCAGGGTTATGCCAGTAGCAGCTTATGAAAAGGCAGCAGGCTTTTTGTCAGCAAGCTTTTGGTACATAATTTTGTTACTTGTGAAGCTGCTCCTATTGAGTGTTTTTTCCCACAACCACAACCCGTCTTCTCCAATAGAGACTGGGAACAAGGAACCAAGCTCTGTTAAGATTTATCAGGACAGCCAAAAAACCAGTTTGGCTCAGTGGATAGAGCACCGGTCTGCGGACTGAGGGGGTCCCGGGTTCAGTTCTGGTTAAGGGCATGTACATTAGCTATGGGCATATTCTTGATGAGGGGTGTGCAGGAGGCAGCTGATCGATGTCTCTCTCATTGATGTTGCTAGCTCTCTATCCCTCTCCCTTCTTCTGTGTAAAAAATCAATAAAATATATTAAAAAAAAGATTTATCAGGACAATGCTTGAAGGGCTCACTTACTGTTTTTCCCCTAGGACATACCCCCTGCAGCTGGTGGGGCTGAGGATGGGTTCTTTGTGCCCCCCACCAAGGGCACCAGCCCAACTCAGGTAAGCGGGGAGACAGCCTGTGGGGACGAGTGTTTCTGAGCTGGCTATCACTGATGAATGTGTAAGGACTATTGCTGCAGAGTAGGATAGTTTGGGAATAGTAAGAACAGGATTTCACCTGGCTTGGGTTTTCTGTTTTTTGTTAGATCTGGTGCAATAACTCTCAGCTTCCAGTTGATCACATCCTGGCAGGATCTTTTGAAACCGCCATGAGGGTAAGTCTTAAAGTAACTTTGGCTTTTGTTCAGTTATTGTCTCAACCAGAGTCCCAGGGAGATGGTTGACTCACCTTAACCAAATGGAAATTATCCCACCCACAAGGGCAAAGGCATGTATTTACCATGGAAACCCTGGGTCTTGACTGAAGAAACTTTTCTCATAAGGCCTTCCTCTTACCTGCTTTCCTTTTGGCTTAGTCATCTCCTAGGTCCGTGGTCGGCATATTGCAGCTCCCGAGCCACATGCGGCTCTTTGGCCCCTTGAGTGTGGCTCTTCCACAAAGTACTATGGCCTGCGAGAGTCTATTTTGAAGAAGTGGCGTTGGAAGAAGTTTAAGTTTAAAAAATTTGGCTCTCAAATCTCAGTCGTTATACTGCTTGTTGATATTTGGCTCTGCTGACCACTGTCCTAGGTGAATCCTTCCAACCATCTTCCACTCATTTTATAGCCTGCTTTCTGGCTCATATCAGTGAAGTAAGCATCCCTTCATGAACAGGTGTATGTTTTGAACACTAAGCATGGGTGCAGTAGCAATGATAACAGCCACCACAACTGCAACAACTAACATGTATTCACTGTGTGCCAGGCATTGCCCTAAATGCTTTAACAGGTATTAAATGAGGGAGGTCCTGTAAATAAGTGTAATTTACTGATGAGGAAATGAGTACAGAGAAGTTAAGTCCTTGCCCAAGGCACTTGGTTTTTAAGTGGTAGGAGGACAAAAATCCTTATGTTTCTTGCTTCCTGTATTTCAGCTCCTTCACGACCAGGTAGGGGTAACCCAGTTTGGCCCCTACAAGCAACTGTTCCTGCAGACCTACGCCCGAGGCCGTACCACCTATCAGGCTCTGCCCTGCCTGCCCTCCATGTATGGCTATCCTAATCGCAATTGGTAAGGCCCCGTGTTCCTGACTTTTATCTGTTCCAACGTGGTTTAGATATTTCAGGTGGTAGCTTCAGGGACAGTCACAATTTTTCAAAGCTGGGGTTCCTAATAGGAAACGATTTTTTTGGCTTGGCACTCTCCGAGGTTTGGTTACTGCTTTCACGGTGATTATGTTGCCAGAAAAAGTAGTTGAGTCCCAGTGGGCTCCTACTTATTGTCTTCTTCCTGCTTTTCCATGTGTAGGAAGGATGCAGGGCTGAAGAATGGTGTACCAGCTGTGGGCCTGAAACTTAATGACCTCATCCAACGGTTGCAACTGTGCTACCAGCTCACCACCGTTGGCAAGTTTGAGGAGGCGGTGGAAAAATTCCGATCCATCTTACTCAGTGTGCCACTGCTTGTTGTGGACAATAAACAGGAGATTGCAGAGGTTAGGAGGGGTCTACTACTTGTCCTAGTCATGGGCGCCCGCACATTCTTGCCCCTGTACCATGACCTTCCTTTGCCCCTTCCTTCAGGCCCAGCAGCTCATCACCATTTGCCGTGAGTACATTGTGGGTTTGTCCATGGAGATCGAAAGGAAGAAGCTGCCTAAAGAGAGTCTGGAACAGCAGAAACGCACCTGCGAGGTAAGATCTGTGGCCCTCTGAGCAGTAAAGCGGTTTCCTTCCCTCTTCCTCCATTACGTCTGAATTTTTCAATTCCAAACCCAGATCTCAATCTGGGGAGTAAGAGAAATTTGGTCCCATTTCTGTGAGAAGAAAATGTATTTCTACACTCTTCTTCCTCATCTCATCAGTCTTCCATAACTAGGAAGCAGAAGACTTTCCTGCTTTATCACCAGTCCTGTTTTTATTTGTGTGGTTTTTTTAAATGCATCTGTACCAGCTATGCATGACCTATCTCAACAGTCTAATCAGCCTCTCATGTGTTCCTCTTTCTGTCCACCAGATGGCAGCCTATTTCACCCACTCAAACCTGCAGCCTGTGCACATGATCCTGGTGCTGCGGACAGCCCTCAACCTCTTCTTCAAGCTCAAGAACTTTAAAACAGCTGCCACCTTTGCTCGGCGCCTGTTGGAACTTGGGCCCAAGCCAGAGGTGGCTCAACAGGTAGATAGGAACCCCGTCAGTGAGCATAAAAGAACCAGGTCTGCTCTTACAGGGAGGGAGTAGTAGACCGAGGTCTTTGCTGCTGAAATAAAGCACAGAATGATATTCAACAAAAAGAGCCACAAAATTTGACTCTTTTTACTTACTGGCATGGATACCTCTTTTTGTTCCTGGAAACTGAACTAATAACTTATTTAGACATGGCACCAGGGTGAGAGTGACTGGCAACCTAGAATAGCTCCACTGCCCCTGAAAATAACCCTATGCCTGACCTTGAGCTCCAGATCTCCCAATACCACCACCACTAACCTCCATATTTATGTCCCATTGTGTTCTCCAAAGGCATTTTTAAGGCAATGGAAGCCAGTTCTAACTCAGGCCTGACCCTGATAACTCAGACTTGTTAGAGGAATATGGGTCTAGATCCAGGGAACTTCTTTGGTGTTGAGAAGGGAAAAGCCTGATTCCACAGGAGTGGTAATTATTACCCCTTCATGTATGTCCTGCACAGAAAGTATATTTCGAATTCAGTGCAATTCCATCCTGCACCAAAGAAACTACTAAACCATAACGGTGAAATAATTTGAGTTGTATGAAGCTTTTACTACTCTTAAATAAAATGTTCCTTCCCTCTCTTAGACCCGGAAAATCCTGGCAGCCTGCGAGAAGAACCCCACAGATGCCTACCAACTTAATTATGACATGCACAACCCTTTCGACATCTGTGCTGCATCTTACCGGCCCATCTACCGTGGAAAACCAGTGGAAAAGTGTCCACTCAGTGGGGCCTGCTATTCCCCTGAATTCAAGGGTCAGATCTGCAGGGTCACTACAGTAAGTACTGTCCTCGAGAAATGCATCTAGGATATTGAGGGAAGGGGGAGAGAAGAAAAGAAGCACAGTTGTCCTTTCTCTCCTGTATTTGCCTCTACCTCCTTGAGACATATACTGGGTAAAGCTAGATGCTCTTTGTCAATCACTGCTCTTTGTCAATCACTAACAAACAATAACAAAGTACTTTATTGTGCTCATGGAAGAGTGGAGCAACTAAGCTTTCTAGGCGACTCAACCTCTCAAACTCCTAACTTCTTCCTGTTTCCTCTTCCACAGGTGACAGAGATTGGCAAAGATGTGATTGGTTTAAGGATCAGTCCTCTGCAGTTTCGCTGAAGCCCCTTTGTGTATAGGGTCAGTCATCATATTCTCCTCAGTCTCCACCCCAAACCCAAGAATTAATCTTCATGTCCTAACCTGTCCCTTTCCCTGCCCTAAGATCAAGTGTTCTTTTCTCTTGTTCTATGGCTAATAAATGTCTAAGCTTGACTTCTTGTATTTTTTGTCTCTGAGGACCTTTCATTCTCTCAATCTTACAGTTGTGGTCACAGTTGGACTTGCCTTCTCAGCTTACCTCTTTCAAGAAACAAATGAAAATGCAGTGGTGAACTTTTGTTTAGTAAATTCCTTCAGTGCTAATCCTTTTCTTCCCTTTTACCTTTCTATCCTCTTTGTTAGAAAGGAGTGGGATGTAATAAATAAGGTAGCATCTTTTCCTCCATCACAGCAAACTAAGACATCCTGCATTTTCAACTTCCAGGCAGGTACCCTCCCTCTCTGTGCCCAGAAATTTAAAGTTGGAAAAAAAACTGTCTGGTTTTCCAAAAATGCACGTCACTTTTTATTGACTTGTTTTTTTATAATCATTGTTCTTATTTGTTGTTTCTCACACTAAATAAACTAAATTACTGCGAGAGTTTTGTGGCTTCTTTCTTGTTCCTACTTATTCGGTGCAGCTGCCCACCAAAGCATATCTTTCCTTCTATAACTACTTTATAGAAGGAGGGAAAACTAGGGGACAAATAGGTTAATTACAAAAGTAGTAAATGCCCACTGTTTAAAATAAAGCACACATTTTTCTTAGGATATATTAAACTGCTGTGAGAATGGTGGAAAGCAAATAGCTCCCCTGTTCCATTATTGACTGCAACGCTTTGTCTGTTATTAATTTCAGCTAGTATTTACTGAGCACCTATCATGTGTCACTGTTCTAGATGTTTTATATGTAATATACATATGTAAGATTAATTAGAGGTAAATACATTAAATTGGATGATTACAGTGCTGATAAAGTATTTTGCTTGCTATGTGCTAAGACTGAGTAGAATAACTGTGTCTTTGATTAAAATACGTATCTTTTTGCCCAACCAGTATGTCTCAGTGGATTGAGTGTCATCCCATGCACCAGGAGGTCACTGGTTCGATTCCTAATTAGGGCACATGCCCAGGTTGGGGGCTCGATCCCCACTGGGGGTCATGCAGGAGGCAACCGATCAATGTTTCTCTCTCATCAATGATTCTATCTCTCCCTCTCCCTATCTCTCCCTCTAAAATCAATAAAAATATATCTTTTAAAAATTTGTCTTTTAAAAAAGAGCTTAGTCCTTTATATTTTTATAGCTTTTAAGAGTTGCTTTCTTAAAGTATCCCCAAACTAAGCCTGCCTTATTTTGGTAACACTTTCTCAAGTTATAAGCATGCTTTTTGTAAATATATGCAAATTGGTAATAAATTTTGGCCAAAAAAACTTTTGTAACTTTAAAAATTAAACTATAAGATTAACTTTGCATATAAACATAAACATTATTCTGAATTCAGGGATATGAAAAAAGTTAGTTATCCACATTTCTTAAACCTTATGGATCTGGGGAAACAAAATGGATATATGTGAAATTATTATGAATATCAGGCAAGAACTTAAAATTGGCCAATGAACAGTGGAGCCATTATGTTCTTAATCTAGAGTGCTATAAAAAATGCTGTGAATTACTGTTTCAGAACATTGTTCACTGTATATTCGAAAGGCAAGAGGTGAGTAAATACTGAGATGAGGTGTTAGGATTACCAGTAGTAAGACACAGAAAAGCAGGAGCAAGTTTAAGAAATAATGCAGCCCAAACCGGTTTGGCTCTGGATAGAGCGTGGCCTGCGGACTGAAAGGTCCCAGGTTCGATTCTGGTCAAGGGCATGTACCTTGGTTGTGGGCACATCCCCAATAGGGGGTGTGCAAGAGGCAGCTGATCTATGATTCTCATTAATGTTTCTAACTATCCCTCTCTCTTCCTTTCTCTCATTGATGTTTCTAACTCTATCCCTCTTTCTTTCTGTAAAAAAGCAATAAAAAATAAAAAAATAATAATACAAAAGAAGATCCGTGCTTGTTTTCAACATAATTTTCTCAATTACCATCTGGTATTTTCCTTATTAACATGCTTATTTACTACATTAATGAAAAGACAATAGAAATGCCAATTAGTTTTAATCATGTGCTTGATATAACGGTAGTCATATTAGAGATACACATGTAAGCAGTTTGGAATTGAATGAGAAAATCTGTAATTGTTTCAGCTGTGGGGAGAACTAGGTTAATCAGAGGACACAAATTATAGAAAAGTATAATTGAAAAGGAACCTAATGTCCCAACTTTATTGTTAATTTGTAATCTGAGGTCTAGAGTGGCAAGGATTTTAAACCAAGTAATTTAGTGAGAGCCCTAGAATTTAGTTCAGAATGTGCTTGGAAGAATACAGTAAGTTTTGCACAGGTGTGATTTTATAAGTCTGTGCCCTGTTTGTAAAGGAAAAAGGATGTGCCAAGTCTTTCTTTGAAACAGTATTCAGGTGTTTGGGAAGCTAAGGATGAAAACCATGAAATAACTTTTCATTTTAATGTGATTTTTCTTTTTTAAACTTTATAGCACTTTATCCTGACCTCTCTTAAGACATTTTTAAATCTTGTGCCATTTTTTTTTTCTTAACACATTAAGTGCCAAGCATGTTTTGTCTTCCTTTCCATTTAGCTTGCGATACCTGATTTCACTGATATGCTGGGGGCACCAGTGACTGACAAGGTCCGAACAGAAAGTATAGTGTCAGTCACTGGTGACATGTTAAATATATTGTTATTGATTTTAGAGACAGGGAAGGAGAGAAGATAGAAACATCAATGATGAGAGGGAATTCTAGATTGGCTGCCTCCTGCACATCCCCTAACATGCCCTTGACTGGAATTGAACCTGAGACCCTTCAGTCTGCAGGCCTACCCTCTATCCACTGAGCCAAACCAGCTAGGGCTTTTGTCCCATTCTTACTGTGTGTGTATGTCTAGTATTACCTCCAGCCTAATCCCCAGTCAGCTACTTTACAGCTGGCCCTGATTTATCAATCTTCCACTGTTCAGCGTCTTAAACAGTAGATACCCTCTAAGTACTAAAACAGATTTGTATCTCGGGTAGTTTATACATTCTGATAGATCTGAATAGAACAATCCAGAGGAGGAAGGGTTGTCTTGAGTTGTGTCTATGTGAGCCTTCCCAAATTCACTCTCTTGGAGGTTAGGTTCTTTACAAAGAAAAGGAGATGGATCAGAGAAGGCAGGTCTATTACTATTCAAATTGCTCAGTTCAAGGCCCCAGAGTAATTCCCCCCCCCTCCCCCCTGCACTGAGTTCTAAGTGTAACAGTTCTAATGGAGACTAGGAAAAAAGATGCCCATTTGATTCCGCATAAAAATGTTCTTTATATAAGGGTCGGGAGAGCCAACAAAGTGTTTCGCCCTCACCTGGGAGTGAGAAAAAGAGCAGTGAAGACAGGAGTAAGCCGAAATCGGTTTGGCTCAGTGGTAGAGCGTCGGTCTGCGGACTGAAAGATCCCGGTTCGATTCCGGTCAAGGGCATGTACCTTGGTTGCGGGCACATCCCCCGTGGGGGAGGGGGGGTCTTATCTCTCTCCCTTCCTCTCTGTAAAAAATAAATAAAATATTTTTTTTAAAAAAAAGGAGTAAAATCCTTGCCAGTCATGGCGCTGAAATGCCAGAGGGAGAGGCATAGGCGAAAGGGAAGGGAGGACAATATAAATAGGAAGAGTGTCCGAAAGTGTGCAGGCCCGTAGGAAACCTACCAAAAGATCCAAATAAGTTTCCCCTCCGTTAGCTAAATGGTTTTGACGAAAAGGAAAAACAACCCCACACCGTCCTGTCCCTTTAAAAATGACGACTCTGCCCCGGCCCGCCTTACCATTGGTCGCAGAGGCGGAAGGGGTGGGGCGCCAGGTCTGGGAGGCCCGCCCCCTACGGTGCAGCGGAGGCAGCAAGATGGCCGCAGCGGAGGGGGACTGTGGGGTCGGAGCCGACGCGGACCGGGAGCTGGAAGAGCTGCTGGAGAGTAAGCCGTCCTGGGAGGACCCGAGGAGGGCGGGTGTGGGGACCCGTTCCGGGCGTTAGGGGAGCCCGAGGTGCTTGGGGCGGAGCGGGGAGGCCGGCCCGGGACTGGCCGGGGGCGGAGGGTCTGACTGCGACTCCGAAGCGCGTCTCCTGGCCCCCTTCCCGGCGGCGGCGGGAGCAGGGAGCCCCCTGAGGGCCGGGCCGGTGATCTCCCTGCCGGAGCGGAACGGTAATCCAGCGGACGGCGTTTCTGGGTCCCCCCAAGCCCCCTCACTTGGCCTTGGGAAGTTCTCTAGGTCCTCGGCGGGCTTCCCATCTTCCCACCCCTGGTCCTCCCTTCCAGGCGGTGTCTCCCCTCCTCTCAGGCTGTCCGCCTCTCTCTCCAGGCCCCGTCCCGTCCTTCCCTCCTGTCAGAGCTGGAGCCGGCTCCTTTCCTGTTATTTTGAAAAACGGAGGATGAGGAGGTGTCAGGGAGAGAAGTCCACCCTCCTGAACGAGGGTGATGTCTTCTTAGCCATGCCCTCCATGCTCCTGGTGTCTCGCCCCGTGCTCTCCCCCTAGGCCTGGCGAGCAGCCTGGTAGGAGGACACAGGCTTTTCAGGGCAGAGGTGAATGTTTTTGTCCTGCCCAGTGCCAGAGATGTGGGCAGGCGGGAGGATGAACAGGAACGGTGGAGGAGGGTGCCAAGTGACTCTGTGTGACTTGGCGCGCAGCCACCTGCAGGGACGGGGCCAGAGGGAGTCCAGGAGCTTTGCCCAGGGAGGGCCAAATTGGAGGATGAGAGAGCTGAATGCCCTTCCTTGGAGTTCAGTCTGTACTAGTACCAGGACCCAGGGGAAGGTGGGTGGGACAGAGTGTGGCATCTGCTTTCTTGCCAAAGGTTATTTCCTTTAGGGCTTCAGAGCGAGGGCAGGAGGGCTGAGGATATTCTGAATCTCTGCTCCTGTTAGATGTATTAGTGTAGGGTTTTTTAAAAATATATATATTTTATTGATTTTTTACAGAGAAGAAGGGAGGGATAGAGAGCTAGAAACATCAATGAGAGAGAAACATTGACCAGCTGCCGCCTGCACACCCCCTACCACGGATGTGCCCACAACCAAGGTACATGCCCAAACCTGGGACCTTTCAGTCTGCAGACTGACACTCTACCCACTGAGCCAAACTGGTTTTTGGCATAATGTAGGGTTTGTAGGGAATCATAGAGAGTGGCAGGGAAGGCACTGTAGATAGAGGTGTTTCTGCAGAATTTCTTTTTAACTCTCCTCTCGGTTCCGAGAGATGCCTGTTCTGCTTTAACCTGTTTTCCCTTCTTCGACTGCAATAAATTAGGTAATGGGGAGGGCATTGGGAGGCTTGCTTAGGACTGGGCCAGAATAAGGAGACTAAAAAAAAAAAAAGAAAACTTAGTTGGCAGTTTTAAAGATGGTTCTCTCTCTGCCGAAACCGGTTTGGCTCAATGGATAGAGCTTCGGCTTGGGGACTGAAGGGTCCCGGGTTCGATTCCGGTCAAGGGCATGTATCTTGGTTGCGAG